TCTGAGTAAGTGGTTCTTTATGCATCACTACACTATTGACTGTGGACAATGAACCTACTTTGCGGGCAAAATTTTACCAAAAAGTCACTAATGTGATTGCACATGTACTCTCTGAATCAGTCATTACAAATGAACTCTGAAACATCAAAAAAAAAAAAAAAAAAAAGCATTGGTCAGTAAGTTTTATAATTGTTATTTGTCTTACATTAATTCAGTAAGGTTTAGATAATGACTCTGCTCTGGCATTTTCATTAATTCATTGTTTTCATAGTCCTGAATGAAAATTGCTGGTTGATTGTGTGATGAATGCGGGGAAGGAACGCCACATAAAAGATCGTCTTGCTTCACTCTGTTATCAAGCTATGAGACTCACTGGAAATGTGTTTCTTAGCCTACATTTTTGTAAAACCACAAAAAAGTATTTAAAAACATTTGACTGCAGTTTCTAGATAAAAATGAACGTTTTGGGGCAGTGTGAAACCAACAAATTCAATTAAAATCAATTCACCTTTATTTCTATAGCGCTTTTACAATGTAAATTCTGTCGAAGCAGCTTCACATAGAATATTATGGTAAATTTAAACAGTGTCAGTCCAGTTTTCAGAGTTTAAGTTTAGTTAAGTTTAGCTCAGTTTAGTGTGGTTTAATAATTAATACTGAGAGTCCAAACACTGAGGAGCAAATCCATCGATGGTCCCGAACCATGCAAGCCAGTGGCAACGGCGGTGAGGAAAAAACTTCACCAACTGGCGAAAGTAAAGAATTAAAAAACCTTGAGAGAAACCAGGCTCAGTTGGGCATGAGCATGATGATTTCTCCTATGGCCAAATGCTTGTGCAGAGCTGCAGTCTAGGCGCTGAAGGTTGGAGAATGCTGGACGTCATTGAAGACCTGTCTGTCCCTGGAGCGTCACAGGAATCAGTCACATGCTCTCTACTCCTCCATGACCACCACAGCTGCTGCTCAGGATACGGCCTGGTCCAGGATTATGGAAACCTTGGGATCATCTCGTCACTGGTCTTGGATCACATCAGTGGTGCTGCATAGTCTCTGGGGACCTCAGGATGAGCATCCCCAGGTGGAAATAGAGTAGCTGCTGTTCATAGTGTATATTAACGAGATATGTGGAGCACATTCATGCATCATACCACTATGTGATGCATTGAGTGTATGCTATACTAAAAAGATAGGTCTGTAATCTAGATTTTGAACTGCTGATATGATCATATTTTCTAGACCTGGTAAGAACTCTGGCAGCTGTATTTTGTACTAGCTGAGGTTTGTTAATAGAGGACGCTGGGCAGCCAGCAAACAGCACATTACAGTAATTCAGCCAAGATGTCATAAAAGCGTGGACTAGCTTTTCTGCATACTTCATAACTTAGCGATATTTCTCAGATGAAAGAAGGCAGTTTTTGTGACATGGGAGATATGAAGTTAGGTTGCTGTCTAATATGACACACACATATTTCATAGATGAGCAAACGCTAATTTTGTATCCCTTTAATTGCAGGTTGAGTTGTGAGATTTGCTGTGTACAGGATTTAGGTCCAATAAGTATTAATTCTGTTTTGTCTGAAACAAATATTGTTCTTTTTTACACTAATGATTTTTACAGGGACACATCTATGATTAAAGGATTTTTTTTCATGTAGTTCTTTGCATAACATCAGATAAATACAACAAATCAACTTGTCTATAACTTGTAATCAAATATGTTTGCCTCATCTGTCAATCTCCATATGGACTATACTTTTCTGACATGGCCGGTTTGCTCAGTAGCTCACATTGTACGGTGTTGTACATTCAGAGTTTTCGGATTTGAATCCAGTAAATCTTGGTTTCACAAAAGAGATAAAAACAGTGTAAAATCAAGGTAAAACTAAGTGGCTGTTGGCTTTTGAAAACAGTATTGGTTATGTTAAGGGAATAGTTTACACTAGTTGATCTGCACAACAAACCCCACCTTCTCATTGAAACACGTGTAACTGAACTGTACAACAAAACATAATCCAAGTAATGTATTTCAGATTAGCAAAAATGTAGACAGCGCCCTCTAGTGGATGTGACATCTGAAACGTATCCAGGACAACATATTTTGCACTTCACCAAATTCTCATTTATATCAATAGTAAATTTTACAAAGGACACAAAACATTTTAACCAAGTAGATTCCACACCAGATTTATGCTGGTTGAACTATTAACATTCAAACACTGGTTTGGCAGTGACCTCAGAGTAAGTGGTCCTTTATGCATCACTACATAATTGACTGTGGACAATGAACCTACTTTTCCCAGCATATTTTCACCCAAAATTCACTGATATGTTTGCACATGCACCCTCTGATTCAGTCATTACAAATGGACTCTGAGATATCAAAAACATTCATCAGCAAGTTGGATAAGTATTATTGGACTTATATTATTCAATACGCTTTAGATAATGACTCTGCTCTGGCAGTTTCATTAATTCATCGTTTTCATTGTCCTGAATGAAAATTGCTGGTTGACTGTGTGATGAATGCAGGGAAAGAATGGCATGTTGCTGAAGGATTTTCTTGCTTCACTACAGCGACACAGCCTCATTGGAAACATATCCTTTAGCCTACATTTTTGTAAAACCACAGAAACATACTTTAACATACTCTACAGGGGAGTGTGACTCCAAAAACCTTTTGTTTTACCCTAATGTTTTTTACAAGGACATATTATCAATGATTAAAAGATTTTTTTCATGCAGACCAAATAAATCCAACAAAACAACTTAAGAATGTCTATGACTTGTAATCGAATATGTTTGCCTCACCTGTCTATCTCCATATGGACAACTTTTCTGACATGGCTAGTTTGCTCAGTAGCTCACTTTGCACAGTATTGTACATTCAGAGTGCTTGAGTTTTAATCTAGTGAAGTGCGGTTCTACAAAAGACATGCAAGCAGTGTAAAATCAAGGAGAAACTAAGTGACTGCAGTGCACTTTGCCATTACGTTGGCTTTTGAAAACAATATTGGTTGGGTTTAGGGATGAGTTTATGCTAAATTATCTGCACAACAAACACCACCATATTATGGAAGGACGTGTAACTGAATGGGGGTAAATACAGAAGTACAGTATGCCGAAGGACTTTTAATTTTTCCAGTAACCTGAGTCAAAATCTTACGGTGAACTGTATGCAGTTACAAAATCAGAGCGTTTAAAGTCTGTTTTCTTTAAAAGTCAATGATCTCCACTGCCTGATTGATATACCATAGAAAGTGGGTCTTAGAATGCACTAGAAGCACTGCAATAAATTATATTTTTTCTGCTCCATGTCTTTAAAATTTAAACCTTTATTTTACCACTGTACTTTCAACAGAGTTTACAGTACTTACAATAGAGTTTGATCCTGAATGGCATGTGCATGTAAAGGGCTTTTCATCTCGCTTTATGCTTGATCAACTAAATAAATGCTGAAGTCTATTTAACTGATTATATTTTATTACATGACAACATCGATGCTGTAAAAAGAACCTTATAAAATTAAAATAAGTCACATTAACCGTTCACCAGAAGTTTATCGGTGTGAGAACAAATTCCTAGCAGTGCATATACCCTATAGTACAACAAATCATAATCCTCAGATTCTCAAAAATGTAGACAGCACCCTCTAGTAAATTTGACATCTGGAACATATCCAGGACAACATATTTCACGCTTCACAAAAATGTAGTCTGTAGTACATATTTCCAATGAGACTGGACTGGGAATATCTTTGCATTCATTTATCTATTCATTATAGCTGTAAATTACAAAATACATTACTAAAATCTAATTTAGCCCAACACCAGTTTTATAGCAATAATTTTGTCTGACTTATTTAGATCAAGAGTCATTCAATTATGTTTTAAAAGAGGCTGTTAAATTATTGCAGTGCAGATTTAAAATCTCTTTGCCATTATCGTTGTGGTCATTTGATTTGACCAGTTTCTCACTATGTATTCTTCTCACTAAGTTCTTGAAGCAATTTGCCATTAGAAGAATCCCCCTAAGCATTTACAAGGCATTGAAGGTTTGTTAGGTGCTTATTAATGTGTTTAGTCTGTTTTCAGGGTTCATTTGTGTCAGCGACTCTGAGAGATCATTAAAAAATGAGCTTCAGCCTAAAAGTGGCTTCATTCCCTCAGCCGCTGTCACTGTGCCCGGTGTGTGTCAGCTGTTTAAAGAGACCAGACCTTTACTTTTAGGTCACTCAGAATCTCTCTCCTCTGTCGCTCTCTGTTGTTTTTGGGTCGAATGTCCCAGTGGTGGTGAAGAGGTCAGTGAAAAAGGTGTGCTGGATGCTGTCAGAGCAAAGAAGAGTCGTTTGATTTATAGTTGATGAAAGTGAAAGTGAAAATGAAAGTCAGAATTTTCTAAGTGAAGTTTTTAAACTAATTTCGAGAGGAGCACGTGATATAATTGACAGCAGCTGGCCACCTATCTACACTCATTAGTTAGCCAATCAGATCTATCCTAACCCACTATAAGTAGCCTAGCTAGACATTACTCCCTTATCTTCGTTTTCCGAAGAAACCCCCCATCCACCCCTTTCTCCTCCTTTTCTCCTTTACAAAAAGAGGAGCTCTCGAGAACCACCTGATCTCGTACTCCCCTCACATGCTCTATGGACCTGGCGGGAGCCCTGGGCTCAACTATCTCCGAGCTCAGGGTTCTCTCCCGGGACAGCATGCCAAACCTGCTTACAGCTGTCAAGCAATATCTAAGTGTGAACTCTTGAAAGAGCCTGTGTCCTGTTTCTGTCTCCAACACTTTTTTTCTAAGTATTTCTTATGTTTTTCCTGCTACTTTCATAAATCAAAATGAAGCAATATCGGCTGTATTTTTGGACAAATTACTATGTTTTTGTACATGGTGTTCCTTTTTTTGTTGTTGTTGTTTACCCCTGATTTATGTTTGCTCTTCACACTTTTTCTCACTCTGTCATTTGCCTTTCTGTTTTGGTATGTTTCTCTAATCAGGAGCTGTGTGACGATCCTCATTTGTTTGTGGACGGGATCAGTGCCCATGACTTGCACCAAGGGCAGCTGGGAAACTGTTGGTTTGTGGCGGCCTGCTCCAGTCTGGCCTCCCGAGAGTCACTCTGGCAGAAAGTAAGTTGGTGGATGTTTGCAAATGTGTGTATTTCTTGCATGTTCACAGATTATCCTGTGCAGAAAAAATGCTGCAATATATAGGAAAAAGCTAGGGATTTATTGAGTCAAAGTTGACTAACTAAACGACATTTAAATTGCAGTCCATCTTCATGTCCATTGATTTTTTGTATATAAGTGCAGACGCAAATGAGGAAATGCCCAGAAGTGATTCATTCACAAAATCAGGAAAGCATCCAAGAATATAGATACTCTTCCATCTTCAAAAACCAAGGGACAGTAACTGTAAAAAATAGCAGTAATATCTTTAAAATAATACTAATAATATTTAGGGCATGGTGGGTTAGTGGTTAGCACTGCCACCTCACAGCAAAAAGGTCGTTGGTTTGAGTCCCGGCTGGGTCAGTTGGCATTTCTGTGTGGAGTTTGCATGTTTTCACCAAGTTTGTGTGGGTTTCCTCAGGGTGCTCCAGTTTCCCCCAAAAGTCCAAAGACATGCGGTATAGGTGAATTGACTAAACTAAATTGGCCGTAGTGTATGTGTGTTAAAGCTAGAGTGTGTTGGTGTTTCCCAGTGATGGATCGCAGCTGGAAGGGCATCCTCTATGTATATATAACATATGCTGGATAAGTTGGTGGTTCATTCCTCTGTGGTGTCCACTGATGAATAAAGAGACTAAGCCGAAGGAAAATGAATGAACGAATAACCTAATTTAATTAATAATAATCCAACTGTATAAAAATGTCAACTAAACTAATATTAAATTATATATGCCCAATTTTGTTCATTCAAATTCAAAATTCATTTAAAAATTTAACATGTATTACAGTATATATTATAACATAACATTCCTTGTTATTGTATATAATTTGTGGCTGTATTGTATGAAAAACACTGTAGAAGTCATATGATCGATAGGTTATGGTAACACATTTGTGTGTTATTTTAGCATTTCCAAATAAGTTAGCCACGTTTCACCTGATTTTTTTAAGATGTTTGGTTTACCTCGAATGTTGTTTTGTTTAATATATTATAATGTAATTGTTGTCCATTCATTCATTTATTTATTCATTCATTTTCTTTTCAGCTTAGTCCCTTTATTAATCTGGGGTCTCTACAGCGGAATGAACCGCCAACTTACCCAGCATGTGTTTTACGCAGCAGATGCTCTTCCAGCTGCAACCCATCACTGGGAAACACCCATACAGACACATTCACACACATACACTACAGACAATTTAGCCTACACAATACACCTGTACCGCATGTGTTTGGACTGTGGGGGAAACCGGAGCACTTGAGGGAAACCCAAACGAAAACGGGGAGAACATGCAAAATCCACACAGAAAAACTGACGCAGCCGAGGCTCGAACCAGTGACTTTCTTGCTGTGAGACGAACATGCTACCCACTGCACCACCGTGTAGCCCCATAATTGATGTGTAATTAAAATAATATTTTATATAGAAACATATCTGTAAAAAACACTTTTTTTCAAGCTGTGGTGGCAGGCCTTTTACACAGATCTACCAACTACCTATGGTGTTATTTCAATGGCAAATGTTGTGAGCGCAGTATTACAAGTCGAGATCACATTCATGTAATACTAGCATGCAAATCTCTTTGCTTGCATGCCGATTTCCTCTGTTTGTGCATAAAACTTCTTGCACACTCTCAAATATACTCTGCTTAAGAGCAGAAATCTTGTACGCTTTTAAACAAACTCTGCTGAGATTTAGTGCGTTTATGTAACAAGGATGTCTCCAACATTTATTGATTTGCTAGGAATAGAAGTGAAACGGCTATAAACTCCAGCAAGATAAAGTCATCGTATCCAGAACATAGACTGTGTTCATCTTAACTGAAAGCTACGCAGTGTTTGCAAGCCTCACGCATCGCGCACCTGTCAATCAGTCAGGACGTCACTTTAAAGTGTTAAACAAATAACGCACAGCACTACTACGATTACAGAAAAGTTCGCCCTGTTATAATTTACTTACCTTTTAATACGTTTTGGTTTGATTATATCCCATTATTAAAAACAATAACGACTGAATATTTTGAATGAGAAGTTATAATGTAGCCGTGGCGGGAATGAATTTTAGTGTGGCGCCCTGCCATGGAAGAATGAATGTAGCTGAAACCATGTACCATAATTTATGTGATAGAAAATACATAACATAAGAGATCAACGTCGTATAATGCAAATTTCATGCATAAATAAACTAAAACAATACCTGTGAATTACATTTCGTCTGTGTGAGATCTGTTGTGTTGCTTCTGTCAGAAGTGCTTGCTAAGGCTTCTGTAAAGCAGCAGCTCATCTGCATTTAAAAGAACATGCACTTATACATTGTCGGGTTTCACGCACAAATAGAGACAAATTTCTGTGATATTCATTGATCAATGATATTAAAACCTGAAACTTTACATATATTTTTTGGGTAAATCAGAGATGCATTCATCTTATGAACATGGACATAATATGTCCCCTATAACACCTAAATGGTTGACATTTTGTGAGCTGTTACTTAGTTATTTAGCTTCAGTTGCCTGCATGCTCCTCAGGGTGGTTGGTGTTTTCCCCTGCCTGGGGATATGTTTACTCTCCCTTAGAAACACACATCATGATGAAGAGGCTTGACTTATAGGGCCTTCCCATGTGACTCCTCTCCCCTGTCCTGTCATTTGTTTTTGTGGCAGGGTCAGGCATTGATAAATGGGAGTGTGTGCATGCCTCTATCTGTGCCCCATGTCTTTGCAGCATCCTTTTATCCCACCCAGTCACATGCTCTCAGCACCGATACACACTCCAGGGCAGCAGCCCTTCTCAAGAGTCTTCCATTGCAAACTGTGAGGCCAAAAGATGACTTAAAATCATTTAAAAAAAGCGAAACAAGCATGCAAAAAAATTACTATTACTATGTACCCTCTGCAACAGTTTTTTTAAGTCGATTAATTAGTTAATTTATTCATGCATTTATTTAAACATGCAGGACTCCCATTCAGGGTTATTGTATTTAAACTAAAACTAATGCCATAAATTAAAATATTAATTAAAGTAAAATAAACATTATTTGGTATAAAATATGTAGATGATGTAAAATGAATATATTTTAATTTGTTCATTTATTTCAGCTAATTAGCATGGAAGTTTGAATTATTATTATTTCTTTAATTTTGAATTTGTTTTGTTTTATACTGTAGATATATTTAAGATATTACAAAAACAAAAACTAATCAAAAAATTACAAAATACCCTATATAATTACAAAATTTTTAACTACATTTTAAATGAGAAATATGAAAACAAAAGCAGTGTTACCTCAGTCTGTAATTTTATAAGTGTAACTTTCAGAAAATAATACATATAATATATATTACACATATAAATAAAATACATATACTGTGTGTGTGTGTGTGTGTGTGTGTGTGTGTATATATATATATATATATATATATATATATATATATATATATATATATACATATATATATATATATATATAGTGTATACAAAGTTGTGCTTAAAATAAATACTTCATTAGGTCAAAATTGTAAATAGGAATATTATTTTAAAAGACTATTCTGAAATTCATAAACAAGTGAAACTAGGGCACCTTGAAGTCAAACCAAATGAAAACTGAGAACCACTGCTAAAGGGCACAGCATTAATAACCCAGCACAGATATTTGCATCAATTATTCAAAAGATTAATGACTACAACCATTAAAAGTGCATGTTTTACTTTATTCATAAATAATTATGGTTTTCTTGAATTATTAGTGTGATGTATAGTATGTTAACTCCATTACAATCCCATTAAAGCCACAAAACAACTAAACATTAGCAATCAGACAAGTATAGCTCATCAAAATGACTGTTCAAGGCATAGTCTTTAGGAAAAATGACTGTGATCTTCTTGAGAAGTTAGTGTGATTTAAAGTACATTATCTTCATTACAGATAAAAACAGGGACAATCAGACTACAAAAAATGATTATAATTATACAAGATCCAATTGTACTGGTATATAACAATATAATATTGATTTATTTAGTTATCAGCCCCCCTTTGAGACTTCTTTTCTTTTTTAAATATTTCCCAAATGATGTTTAACCGAGCAAGGAAATTTTCACAGTATGCCTGATAATATTTTTTTTCTGGGGCAAGTCTTATTTGTTTTATTAATGCTTGAATAAAAACAGCTATACATTTTTTAATCACCATTTTAGGGACAAAATGATCATCCCTTTAAGCTATTTTTTTTTTTGATAGTCTACAGAACAAGCCATCAGTATACAATAACTTGCCTAATTTTCCTAACCAGCTTAGTTAACTTAATTAACCTAGTTAAGTCTTTAAATTTCACTTTAAGCTGTAAAGAAGTGTCTTGAAAAAAATCTAGTAAAGTATTATTTACTGTCATCATGGCAAAGATACAATAAATCAGTTATTAGAAATGAGTTATTAAAACTATTTTGTTTAGAAATGTGTTGAACAAATTTTCTCTCCGTTAAACAGAAATTAGGGGGGAAAATAAACAGGGGGGGCTAATAATTCTGAATTTAACTGTATAAATATATAGTGGGTTAACCTGCATTGAAATACAGTCATGCCAAAGTCACTAAAACAACTAAATTTGACAAAAAGTTTATAAAAAAAAGCCAAAGACTCTATTATAACTTAAATTTAATTTTATACATATTTAGGAACACATTTTAACTTTAACTGCATTTACAGTAGGTTATATCCATCAACAAAGTCACAAAAGCAGCTAAAAAGCTAAAAACGCCCAAGACCATCTTAATTAATTAATATAAACCAATTCTATTTATATTAGTATTTACGAACACATTTCAATTTATTCCTGAGTTATTAGTTTCATTTAAATTGCGTTATAACTCCCTTAAAGTCTCATCAAATTCAGAAAAGCAGCCAAATTTGAGAAATCAAATAAATAAATCTGGTCAAACTTTAAAGAAATGCAACTTTTAAAGACCTCATTATATCTAATTTCATAGGTCTTTAGGAACCCATTTTAATTAATTCGTGTATTATTAGCTTGGTATTTTATATTTATAGTTGTATGATTTGAAACAATCAAATCAAATTCAGCTTACTTAGAACAACTTGGTCATAATTTGACCAATTTTGCAATAATTTTCTAAAATATTCAACTACATTAAGCTGGAACAGACTGACCAGAAGAGAGCCGTTGTACCCTTCATTTTCTCTCACTTGGAGGTCTGGAATTCAATGGAGCATTCCACGCTCTCCGGACTCAAGCCGTCTTCAAAGGCGAACAGGAAATACATCACCTTTCGCACTTTGGCCAGCTCTGCTATCCTTTCACCAAACTCCTGTGCGTCGGCCTCATAACACTGGATGTTCTCGTCGTCTGCGCTCCTCCAGAAGAGTCCGGTGGGTTCCAGGAGCTGCCGGGTCATCAGGTGTGTGAGGTCGGGCGTCCAGAGCTGGGAAGTGGCGATGATGTTCAGGCGTCCCGGGCTGGAAATGCAGATGTTCCAGCAGGTGAAATGCAAGGCCTGTTCGGAGAAGTCCAGACTGTAGACGTGCTCGTTGGACTTGAGGAGACGCTCTCCGTCTTGACGTTTCTGTCCTCGTTGTTGTAGAGACTGAACGCGCAGACGCATCATCTCCGTCAGCTGGACATCAGGATTGAACGTCAACTCCAGAGACATGTTGTTGTTTTTTTAACTTACCGTTTTTTGTTTGTTTTTTTCTTCTTCTTGCGTCTACTGTGTGTCCTTGGTTTTTCTGCAGCTGCAATGAGCCTTTGTGCTCTGAAAGCAACTTATTTCACAGAGGGGGTTTTTTGTTTAGATATTTGTTGCTCCTGGCTACTGCAAGGGGGAATTTGAGACTTCTGGGTTTTGCTACATGTGTGTTTGTTTCACGTTTAACTAACGATAGGGTTGCTCGGAGGTGAACTGAATTGAGGGTCTGACCTGCAGTCAGTGTCTCAGCATGTACCTGAGCTCAGATAATGGACCTGCACTACTTTGAACAATCACCGCAGAGGTGTACTTGAAATCTAATCTCTGTTGTGTCCCAGAGGACCCGCACTGAATGAAAGAGATGTAGTTCTGCAGTTTACAGCTTCCAAAATCACCCCGGTGTCCTACACCCACAGAGGTCTTTAACATTCTGGGAAAATGATGCTTTTAAAGTCCATGTGAAATCAAAATTTACTGTGTTTATTTTCCAGCATGTATTGTTAGTCTTAAAGTGAACAATTAATCTGTGCAAGTTAATCCGCTGAAAGAAACAGTTTGGTGTAGTAATCTTAAATCAAAATCTGACTATTCGTTTTTGCTGTAGAATGGCAGTTCTTCCCTGATGACATAAAAGGTACAAGAAGCTTCTGAGTTTCTACTATCAGCTCCAATTCATGCTATACTTGCTCATTACATTTGGACAATCTCAACATTTCTGGAATTGTCTTACAGCATAGAAACTGAAATGTATGATTTATGAAAAAATTCATCCTCAGATCCTAAGCTAATATTGACAGTGTGAGAATAGCTGACTTTATTAAAATATAATATTTTAATAAAATAACTAAATTATTAAAGTTTAAAGGTAATCAACAACATCTTTAAATGTTTGTTATCAATTAAATTTAATTAAATATTTAGTTAAATATTTTAAAGTATTATTGAATAAATAAATTGTTGTTGTTGTTGTTGTTGTTGTTGTTATTGTTATTATTATTATTATTATTAATATTATTAATAATAATTTTATTATTATTATTATATCAAGTTAAAGAAGGAAAATAAAATCTAACCAGCCAGGTTATTATTTTCTGATGATTGTTTTTGTTTTTCTGGTAAAACTGACTACAACAAATAAATTCAAAGTTCAACGACTTGGGAGGAATACACACACACACATACACAAAAAAATCTGATTTTCACAACATGTTACCTTAATTTTTTCACAGTAAATTACATTCTTATCACTTTCATTCAGAATTTTATTGTGAAGTTAATCAAATTAGCATAAAACAACAAATTACTGTAAAAAGGGCTATATCTTTTGCATGTTAGTTATAGGAATTCAAACTATAATTGACTTTTTTGTATTAATACAAATTAACTTTTATGCTGATGGTGGCACTTTTTTCTTTTTAGAAATAACAATGTTATTGCAGCCCCAAAAACAGTTTGGTTGCATCTTTAAAAATGACTTGAAAGAAAATCATCCTGGTATAAAACGACATGAATGTCAAAGTAAGTTTTCATTTTTGGTGCACTGCACCTTTTTTTAATTTTAAAAGGTTAACCTGGAAATATGAAATAATTTTTAATGAACATAACTTTGTGCTTAGCTAAAAACTTAATAAAATAAACAGGAACAAAAGTAATTGATTTTTAAAACCAAACACTGTTAAAGTGATTTCAAAGTCAGAGTAAATGTCAGAATGACTAGCTGAGGAAAGCCTGCTTTACAATAAAATATATATTTAATAATAATAATAATGATACTGTGAAATCACAATAATAGACTTTAATATCTGCTGTGAAGTTACACTATATGGCTGTAATTTCATAGTAATTTAAAGTAACAAAATCACAGTAAACTACTGTTAACTTGCAGTAATTTGTTGTGAATTTACACTCAGTATTTTGCTGTGAAAGTAATGCAATTATTAGCCAGTAATTTACTGTGAATTTAAGTAAAGCAGCTACTTTTGGTTCCCACAGACTTAAAATAGATGAGCAATGTCATGAACATGATCATTATTGTTTATTTTTGTCAAGGTATGGGGGTGGTGAAGAGGAGGCGAGGGACCCAAATGCAGAGAATGAAGAGTTTAATGAAAAATAAAACAAAAACAAAACTCAAATCTCCCCACGTGGGGAAAAACACAACATCATATTACACACTCAACTAGACAAGGTTTGGAACTTGACAAGACAATACTTTAAACCACTGTTGTAGACTAGAAATCAGCAGATACAACAGGGAAGGGAACAATCAACAACGGACCAGCACAGAACAGAGCACACTAGGAGAATAAATAGGAAAGACAAACCAATAAACAGACAGGCGGACAGGTGAAAATAATAATTACAAACAAGGTAACAAGGTGGGTGGGACAAGACAATAGACGGGAGAGCGCATGACACAGAGAGACAATACAAGCCATGTGCTCACATAACACAACACTGAAGCACACGACAAAAGCACGTGACCACAACGTAAACACCGAGCCACGTGCTTTGACAAAAGACGCAAGACACGAGCACACGATGAATGAAAACACTCACCGTGCGGTCACACATGCAGCATGCATGCTTCATCCCAGCGCCGACCAAAACCGAAACCAACAAGACTGAGACGCTGGGAATGAAACACCATGCTGCTGACAGACGAAAACACAAACACGAGTACAAGAGCGCACGCGTCTGAGGGACGCAGAGCGCGCGCGCGGCCGCGTCAAGCAGGAGCGCGCACACTCTGCGTACACCCACGACGGCGCGCGCGCACACAGAGACAGAAACAGGACCAGACACGAGTAGTGTCCGAGATCTGCCACCAAAACAAGAATTTACAAGACCAGAGTGGCAGAACCCTGACAATTTTAATGTACTAGTTGTTGTCATTTTGAAAAAATGTTTTACCTTTTTTCAGGTTGTATTTATTTTGGTCCATTTCTTCTTTAACTTAAAACAATTGTATATTCGGCTGTTAAAATATTGTAATATAATATATAAGCAGGCGTGTGAGAGAATTTTTGTTATATTGATCACTTTTTTACCAACAGTGTTTGAACAACTTGTAAAGAAGGGTTAAAAAAGTTTTTTTCACAATTTCCTGTTGTCCCCTTTATGCTGATTTGTATGTGAAGGATATTTGTTTGCAAGGAAATCAAAAGGATGCGACTTTACAAACACTTTAACAGAGCAAGGAAATTTTCAAAGTATGATAAAATTTTTTCTTCTGGAGAAAATCTTATTTGTTTTATTTAGGCTGGAATGAAAGCAGTTTTTAATTTTTTAAATACTATTTTAAGGTCAAAATTATTAGCCCCTTTAAGCAATATTTTTTTTTGATAGTCTAACAAACCATTGTTATACAATAGCTTGCCTAATTACCCTAACCTGCCTAGTTAACCTAATTTACCTGTTTAAGGCTTTTAATATCATTTAAAGCTGTAAAGTAGTGCCTTGAAAAATATCTAGTAAAATGTTATTTGCTGTCATCATGGCAAGGATAAAATAAATCAGTTATTAGAAATGAGTTATTAAAACTAATATGTTTAGACATGTGCTGAAAAAATCGTCTCTTCGTTAAACAGACTTCGTTATAAAAAATAATAATACAATGGAAGTCAGTGGTTGTCAGCCACCAGCTTTCTTCAAAATATATTATTTTGTGTTTAACAGAAGTAAGAAACTCAAAAGTTTCAACTTAAATAAGTGAAGAGTGAGTAAATTATGACTTTGTTTTTATTATCTCTTTAACATGCTTAAAGCAATTATTGGAGTTGTTGTCTTGGAGGCTGCCAATTATAAACAATTTTGCTTTAAAAATAGTAAAATGATGAACTAAAGTAAAAATAAATGTGTAGAAAATGTAAAAGTAATGCAAAGAAAAAAAATATATAAAAAAAATAAATTCTAATAATTCAATTTTAAAAAACGATAAACGATTAACAATCTGAAATATAGTCCTGATTTTAGTTGCCTGCTTTATATAATGTTAGCAATTGTTTATAATTATTATCAGGCGATATATCAAACTACATAATAAAAAAGTATTGCAGACATAAATTATAGTTAAAAGAGTATTGTGGTCTTTCAGTAATCCAATGGTCTCAAACTAAATTCCTGGAGGGCCGCAGCTCTGCACAGTTTAGCTGCTTAATAGTCTCTAGTCTTGAACACCTTGATTAGTTGGATCAGCTGTGTTTAATTAGGGTTGGATCAAAACTGCAGAGCTACAGCCCTACAGGAGTTTAAGACCTATGTAGTAAACACTACATGTCATGATATAGGAAGAACTGTGTGTGGTTTTCTAGGTTATCCCAGACTGGAAGGAGCAGGAATGGGACCCGGAGAAGGCTGATTCTTATGCAGGAATCTTTCACTTCCGCTTCTGGCGGTTTGGCGAATGGGTAGACGTAGTGATCGATGACCGTCTGCCCACGGTGGACAACCAGCTGGTTTACTGCCATTCCAATGACAGCAATGAGTTCTGGAGCGCCCTTGTGGAAAAAGCCTATGCCAAGTAAACACTTCAGGCTAATTCAAAAAGGTTTGTACTGAGACTGACTTTAAAGTAAAGTGATGCTGAGGTCTTTCTCTGTACCAATCAAGAGTCTATGGCTGTTATGAAGCACTGGATGGTGGGAACACGGCTGATGCTCTGGTGGATTTCACTGGTGGTGTGTCTGAACCGATGGACCTGCTGGAGGGTCAGTTCGCTCAGGATGAAACTGCCAGAAACCAGCTCTTCGAGAGGGTGCTTAAGGTTCATAATCGAGATGGCCTCATCAGCTGCTCCATCAGGGTGAGAGTAATACAGTGCTATTTTTTTATACTTTATTCCTTAGTTTGTCATATTTTATTTTATTTTCATTTTATTTTAATTTATTACTTTTTGCAATTTTTTTCTCTTTAATTTAATTGTGTATTTTATTTAGATTTTTTTGTTGTTGTTTTGTGGCGACGCAGTGGCGCAGTAGGTAGTGCTGTCACCTCACATCAAGAAGGTCACTGGTTTGAGCCTCGGCTGGATCAGTTGGCGTTTTGGTGTGGAGTTTTCATGTTCTCCCTGTGCATGTGTGGGTTTCCTCTGGGTCCTCTGGTTTCCCCCACAGCCCAAAGACATGCGGTATAGGTGAATTGGGTAAGCTAAATTGTCCGTAGTGTATGAATGTGAATGCGTGTGTGTGGATGTTTCCGAGAGATGGGTTGCGGCTGGAAGGACATCCGCTGCGTAAAAACGTGTTGGATAAGTTGGCCCTACATTCCGCTGTGGCGACTCCAAATTAATAAAGGGACTAAGCCGAAAAGAGAATGAATTAATGTTGTTTTATTTTAGTTTGTATATTTTATTATGTTTGCTCCTGTTTCCTTAATTGATATAATTTATTCCCTAATTGACATGACTTCCTGTCCACCATCTTGAATTTATTTACAAATCTGTTGTTTCAAACTTTCCATAGATCATTAACCCAATTTCCACCAAATTTGGCTCAGACCATGCTGCCAAAAAGTTATAGAATTTTCCAGTTGCTCTGTTGCTTGTTGCCGTGCTTGTTTATGATGTGGCCGCTGGGCTGCTTGGCCCTGATAATTGCTGCTTGGAGCTATATTTTAATTTAATTTAATTCAATTTTATCCATTTTCTTTTTCGACTTAGTCCCTTTATTAATCTGGGGTCACCACAGCGAAATGAACCAGCAACTTATCCAGCATACGGTATGCTTTATTCAGCAGATGCCCTTCCAGCTGCAACCCATCACAAGGAAACATCCATACACACTCATTCACACACATACACTACAGACAATTTTAGCTTAGCTAATTCACCTATACCACATGTCTTTGGACTGTAAAGGAAATCAGAGCACCCAAAGGAAACTCACGCGAACATGGGGAGAACATGCAAACTCCACACAGAAATGCCAACTGACCCAGCCAAGGCTCGAACCAGCGAACTTCTTGCTGTGAGGCGACCAAGCTGCCCTATTTTATTTTATTTTATTTTATTTCATTTTATTTTATTTTATTTTATTTTATTTTATTTTATTTTATTTTATTTTATTTTATTTTATTTTATTTTATTTTATTTTATTCATTGGTTTGTAAAATTTGATTTTCATTTTATTTCATTTGATTACTTTTTGCTTTTTTATCTAATTTAATTGTGTATTTTATTTAGGTTTATGTTGTTTTGTTTATTTTAGTTTGTATATTTTATTATGTTTTTTCCTGTTTTCTTGTGTGCATTGTTTAATTTTGTTTGTTTATTTTTTTGTGTTCCATTAAATTGTTGTGTTATTTATTTAGCTTAACTTAGCAGTAATATTTTATTTGACTTTTACTTTTCATTTTATGACATTTTATTATATTTCATTGCTTTATTTTAGTTTTTATCTTACTATTTGTATTTTTACTATTGTATATTTCGTGTACTATTTGTTTAATTTAGTTATTTTATTTACAGTTTTGTATATTATTTTACTCTCTTTTTTTTATTCCCATTTTGTACATTTTATGTACATATGCATCAGCATGTGTCTCACGTCTGTCAAGATTTGTATTCTGGCACACATTCATCCATTAATCCAGCCATCCATCACTTTTTTCTGCCTTCATTTATTTTCTTACATAAAAGTGTACTTTCCCAGACTCAAAGTAATCTTGGATTATGTGTGACTTGCTTATCAATGGTCTGTGAAACCTTTCATCCGTAAAAAGAAAAAAGAAAAAAAACAACAACACACATTTTGAATATCTTTATACCTGAGAGTTATTTTTTCACTAGAATATCAAACCAAATGTCTCTAAATACTTCAGCTCACTATATGAACTTAACATTGTATGTTAAGCAACATTAATAAATCCATTTGAGGAGCATTATCTGATGTACCAGACAGGCCTATAATATTAATAGATTTTCTGGGGATCATAACACAAGCTCCATCAAGCTTCATCATAACTTCAGTCTTTTTATGCAAATGAGAAGAAGAAAATCATGCTGTTTGTACAGACTTTAAAAAGCTGTTATATATATATATATGACAAAGCCCTTCTATGTTCAAACTCATTCGTTCTTCATTGTCCAAAAAAAGTGATTTCGTCGACATAATTATGCTTGTCACTAGCTTACGGTATGTCTATGCATAATGTCCTCTTCATTTGCATAGCTCAATGGAGTGTAATAAATGGGCGTGGCTTGTCCTCTACTGATTAACACCACCATACAGTACTTCACTGTAGCATGAAATAACGGCTCGTGTTTTCATAATCGATAATTCACAGGCAGCGCATGTGCTTGCATGCTAATTAGGGATGAAAATGATTAAGCTTTTTTGCATAGAGCTTAAAGAGGTCATCTACTGACATTTTTGTTTATGTTTTAAGTGTTTCCTGAGGTTTTCTTATAACATTATCATGGTTTTTAAATCAAAACTAATTAACTGTGTAATAATAGGTGGACTTTAGACTCTGGTGTGAACATTCACTTGCTAACAGTTTGCATATTTACAACTTTTTCAAAGTTTGAAGTGACCTGTGTGTGTCCACCATTGTGCATATCTCCATATGTTGGACAGAATACATCCTTCATAGAAAGATGCTACTGTCATTTAAATTAAAACATTTAGATTCTCACTACATTTCTGGAATAACAGACAAATAGTAAACTGGTAATACAAACAGTTATTCAGACTTGTGTAGTATGACATTACTATTTGATCTGTTTCAGTCAGCACTGCATTATCTTTTGGCTAAATTTTTTTAATAATATAATAAAAATACAACTTATTATTTACAAGTGTCGAACTGTGCGTTGTTTGTAATCCAATCTGCAATGTTATGAAGTGAACAAAACATCAAGTTCTTTAATCTCAAAATCACAATCCACAGCCCACACACACAAAAATCTGTGGAACTGTGAGAAAAGCAAACTCAATGTTTTTATATTAATATTCCTTGCACGTATAACATGTTTACAAAATTCACTTACCTCTAAGCTGCTACTTTGCACTTTGCACTTTTGCCATACTGCACCTAATTGCACTACAATAAATACCTCAACTTGGTCATATTCTGGAACAATAGGATATATGGTAACTGTTCACAGTTTATTAGTGTCTATTATTTAATTCATCTTGTACTATATTAGTTAAATGTTTAGTTTATGTCTAGTGTGTGTCATATTTTTGTTTTTAAATTGCACATTGGAGTATGGGAGAAACGCAATTTCAGTCTGCTGTGTAATGTACTGTTGCATGGTTTGATTGACAATAAAGTTGACTTGACTTGACTTGACTTAATGGCACATTTGGAACTTCATAAATCAGTTCTTCCACTCTTTCTCAATGTTGAGATCAGAAGAAAGGTGTGATTTTCCACAACATGGCAACACACAGCATCTTTTTATCTTCAGAACATCTTTATCATTTAGTATCCATACATACCTGCCTTTGTCTCATTATTTATAGTGCGTGAATCAGTAGGTGGCGCTAATCAGGCAGTGATGACCTTCTGAGGAGGCGGAGTTTAGGGTGTTTTCACACCTGCCTTATTTAGTTTGGTTGAATCACACTAGAGTTCATTTTCCCTCTTGGTGTGAATGTAGCAATAGCACTCGAGTGCGCACCAAAGCAAGCCAAAAAAGCGTACAGAGACATCCTTGAAGATGTGGTCTCGGCACGCTTTCAAACGAACCATGGAGTGGTTTGTTTGTGGTGAGAACATGATCTGAACTAAAACAGATCCAATCACAAAAAGTACTGCACCTTATTGAACTAATTCAGCTGCTGTAGTCTGATGCACTGTCCCATCTTATGGTGTGTGGAGGAAAAATATTTTTTGACAGCCTTCGCCATTTGCAATGCATTAAAATATTCTTTTCCTGCCACAGTCATGCATCATTGTCAAAATGTATAGTTAATCTAAAGTGACGTATACACACTACATAGTACACTATGACCAGGGATATAATCAGCCAGCACAGTCATCCCTCCATAGTAAAAAGTGACATTGGAGTTCCACTGGCATTTTCCTGCACACTAATTCTGACCAATCGAAAATCGGTTTAGGAAATATGTTCAATAACATCTGGCCAATGAGTGATATTGTCACATGACTGCCTTTTGGTTCTTTTTAACTGGTTCGGACCAGAGCAATCAGTGTGGTGGGAAAAGGACCCAAAAACCCTTGGTCTGAACCAAATGAACCAAAAGCACCCTTTCATAATTAACATTCCTCAACCTGTTTTTTTGGTCCTAACGAGAAACTTTAGAATACTGAAACTTGATGTTTTTATAGTACAATGATTTTGTTGATTTGGATTCTAGGTTCATGACCTCTTTAAATTTTGTTATCAGAATCTAAATCAAGCTTTACATTTGGTATGCAGGCAACCACAGTAGAGGACATGGAAGCACGACTGGACTGTGGATTAGTGAAAGGCCATGCTTACGCAGTGACCGACGTACGCAAGGTCCGTCTGGGACATGGCCTACTGGCTTATTTTAAGTCTGAAAAGCTGCACATGATCCGCATGAGGAACCCCTGGGGTGAGAAGGAGTGGAGTGGACCATGGAGTGACAGGTGAGAATGACCTCTACTGGCCTGGAGATCAGAGAGCATCTAGAGCACAAGTGTCAAATCCAGTTCCTGGAGTGCTGCAGCTCTGCACAGTTTAGTTCCAACCCTACTTCAACACACTTACCTGGAGGTTTCAAATGGAACTGATGGACTCAATTAGTTTGATCAGGTGTGTTTAATTAGGGTTGAAACTAAATTGTGCAAAGCTGTAGCTCTCCAGGAACTGGATTTGACACCTGTGATCTAGAGCAGTGGTTCTCAAAGTGGGGGTCGGGACCCCCGAAGGGGTCGCGAGACAATGAAGGGGGGTCGCCTGGTGATTTCCAAAAATCTATTTATTTATATTAAACCATAAGAATTACCATATTTTATCAATAAACTACTGAAGAGAAAAATTGTTGTTTATAGTTAATATATACTATATAGTTACTACAGTAGCTTATAGTTACTAGTTCTATTGGATTGCGACCCCTGGTGTAATTACATAATTTTAAAGACACACCAATGGCGTCAGATGCAGCAGATTGATTTTATAACATCAGGTTAAACTTTCTGGCACATTTACAGCTCTGATTTCAGATACAGCTCTGGTCTATTGGTGTGTGTGCGCTATTGCATGCAAGGTTTCTGTATATATAATCACCTCAGAGGATATTGGGGGTCGCGAGTCACTAGCTTTGTTATTTTGGGGGTCGCAAGCTAAAAAGTTTGGGAACCCCTGATCTAGAGCATGCTCCATAAAGAATAATCATTGTTCAGTGTTCATACTTTTTTTAACACAGGTTCATTGTAGATGCATTCTTCAGCCTGCATTTTTTTTAAAACTGCAAAACCTTACTTTAAAATACATAGTTTTAAAGTTTCTCTGTAAAAAGAAACACTATGGGGCAGCGTGACACCAACAACCTTTGTTCCTTTTCACACTAATGATAATTATGACTAATATAATAAAGAATTTCCCTGTATTGGGAGCTGGAGGGGGATCCATTGCATAAAACAAATGCCAGAATCGCTGGCAGTTCATTCCTCTGTGGTGTTCCTTGATAAATAAGGGGCTGAGCCAAAGGAAAATGAATGATTAAATAATAAAGGACTTTTTCCTACAATTCATTGCATAACACAAAATAAATACCATAACACAATTTAACAGTGTCTATGAATTGTTATCGAATATGATTGTCTATCACCATACAGACAACTGTTCTGGCATGATCAGTTTGCTTGGTAGCTCACTTTGTTCATTGTTGTACTGTGATGCCGAGAGCTCAAGTTTAAGTCTAATTAAAGAATCCACAAAAACAATGTAAAATAAAGATAAAAAATGTGGTTGCAGACACTTTTCTCTTATGTTTGCTTTTAAAAACACTGTTAGTTAGATTTAGAGAAGAGTTCTGTTTCTTGTTCTCTCTAGGTCAGTGGTTCTCAAACTGTGGTACATGTACCACTAGTGGTACGCAGGCTTCCTTCTAGTGGTACGCGGAGAAATAAAATATATCATATGTACATGCTACATATATTTCAAAACTTATCAAAAATGATTTATATATGCATATGATGACATATGGCCTATATTTCTAAGGTCCAGGCAACATTAATACTTTGCATTTAATTACAGATTTTTTATTTTTTTTTTTTTTTTTTTTTACTGTTTAAGAACAGTAACCTTTCATTTTGAACTTTTAAATTTTAATTTAAACATTTTATTTTTATTTGTTTGTTTGTCTGTTTGTTTGTATTTTTTACATATAACACAGTGCAGTGTTAATGTTCTAACTATTTATAATGTTTAAAATGGCTGACAATAATAGATATTTTTTATAATTATTAATCTGCCTCATTTTTTAACTGTGCAGTGCTGTAGCTGTTTCACTGGGCCTACTACGCTAATGTATTTCAATACTGCTCATTATGGTGGTACTTGGAAAGACCATTCTTTTCTGAGGTTGTACTTGATGTAAAAAGTTTGAGAACTACTGCTCCAGGTGATCTGCACAACAAACCCCACCTTCTAATGCAGTGGTACAACTCTTCATGTATGAAAGTAAATCAGTAGCAATACTTGAGAGCTTGCAAATGTAAATGTGAGCACTTGTGATAATAATATTTGTATGTGTAGGTTGAAATGTACACTCACAGCTCTGATGTGAACAGCTGAAATCCTCGATTTGCACACACACACAACAATCCACACACTTGTGTTTTAAATTCGAAGTTGCAGATTAATAGTTGTGTATTTGTAAAATGTCATTCACAAATACAAAGTGACAGACACACGTGTGCACGGCAAATTTAAATGCATCTTTGCTCTACAACCACAGGTCGGCACTCACAACCTCTCAGATTCATCAGTACAACTACAAATCTCCCGCGCTCTGACTTTTGCTACACATCTCCCGCGATCTCTGTAGCAGAACTCATCTGAGCACTTGCAAATGCAGAGGCGTGAGCAGCGCGTGGCGGGGGAGGGGCGGGGCAGGTGTAAAGCTGTTTCATTGGCTGAAGCCTGACCAATGAACAATGCCAGCAGCCAACAGGACTGAGGTGCAAAATAATCATTTCCCACGATTATTTTATTATTTAGGGTTTATTTAAACTCTTTTCTGAAGAGATTCTTGTTAAAAATCATAAATTCTGTGGAAATGTACATACCAGTAAAAGAGCAGCAAAGCCAGTTTATTGGCTAGAGCCAGCCAATGAGATGGGGCGTTTCTGTTTGTCAGCACACAGGGCAGCTCACATTGTTGGAGGCCTCGAGCAATCAGAGGGTAAGTTATGATTTTTTAATAATTATCTATATGTTCAATACTGTTAGCTAAGCTAAGGACTGTGCTGGGTGCTTCTCTTGTTTGTTTGTTTTTATATAAGAAACAGTTATGAGTTATCTAGGAGCTGCTTTCAATCATGTTATATGGTTCTAAAGATACGATTCAACCCACATGAAATAAGAAGTTGTAATAGCATTTATAGTAAACAATATTACGTTTTTGAACCATACTAACTATAATAAACTGTATTATACTGTATATATTGCAGTATCTACAACTTTGTTAATGAATGCAACAGCACACTGTAGTATTAACTAGCATGAATTTTAATAAATTGAAGTATACATATATATATATATATATATATATATATATATATATATAGCTTAAATTTGAAAAAATTGAAATATAGCTATGTTTAAAACTAAACATTCTAATGCCATTTATTATGCAAATATCAAGTTGAAACAAATCTGTTAAGAGCACGTATTTATATGTAAAACCTAATACATTTTAAAGCATTTTCATTTCTTTCTAATTTATACATCTACATGCATTACATCTGATTTAGGTCCACAACTTGCATCCTTCAACATGATATGTGTGTTCAAAGGAAGAGCAACTAGGTGAGGGAGACAGTGTCCATCGCTCGGCTGAGGGTCCACTTTGAGCATCTCATCTGCAGGGTTAAGCAATATAAGCTAAACAGTCATCATCTCTCTCTATTACAGCGAGCATCAACCAGCTTTACACAATGGCTTGCTTTCTGACCATTAGTAAAGGCTTGAGCAAAGTATTAAAGAGGAGATAATATTTGATGGGTAATGATGAAGTGGGATTTACCACCTCCATCTCATTATGAACAAGGAAAAACCCTGAAATATTTCAATACAAGTAACTAGACATTTGCGCTACACTTATTTGGACTGTAAATTTTATTTGACAAATTACATTCCCTTACAGAACAGGTGTCAAACTCAGTTCCTGGAGGGCTGCAGCTTTGCAAAGTTTAGTTCTAACCCTAATTAAACACACCTGATCAAACTAATTGAGTCCTTCAGGTTTGTTTGAAACTTTCACTTAAGTGTGTTGAAGCAGGGTTGCAACTAAAAACGTGCAGGGTTACGGCCCTTCAGGAACTGAGTTTGACACCCCTACCTTACAGTAAAGTGTAAAAAAACTACATTAAACAATTATCAAAATAAAAGTTGTGTTTGTGGGTGAGTGTGTGTTTTGTTCAAATCTGTAGTCATCTTGGCAAGTAAAAAGAGAAAATAAAGTCGGCTTCCTCTTGAATGATCTGAATCATTTTGAAGTGTTTGTAGATGAGCTGGAGCCTCATGTCATCTTTAGCATAAATAACATCCTATTCAAGCTATGCAGCTTCTCTGAGTTCCTCATCGACTTCAAACATGCTGATCTCTCCTGTCACTCCATCCTTACAGGAAACTGAGAAATAACCTATAGTTAGTTACGTTGATAATTAAAAAAGTGATATAAAAGGACACACTGTACACAAATATGTAAATAGATGGATAGACGATATGATGCAGGTTATAATAACAAAAACCGGTATGATCGGTAAGAAACTGAAACGCCTAGTGTTATTTTTAATTGCTATTAATGTGTGTGTGTGTGTGTAAATATACTTCAATTTATTAAAATTCATGCTAGTTAATACTACAGTGTGCTGTTGCTTTCATTAACAAAGTTGTAGATACTGCAATATAAACAGTATAATACAGTTTATTATAGTTAGTATGGTTCAAAAACGTAATATTGTTTACTATAAATGCTATTACAACTTCTTATTTCATGTGGGTTGAATCGTATCTCTAAAACCATATAACATGATTGAAAGCAGCTCCTAGATAGCTCATAACTGTTTTCTCATATAAGAAACAAACAAGAGAAGCACCCAGCACAGTCCTTAGCTTAGCTAACAGTATTGAACATATAGATAATTATTAAAAAATCATAACTTACCCTCTGATTGCTCGAGGCCTCCAACAACGTGAGCTGCCCTGTGTGCTGACAAACAGAAATGCCCCATCTCATTGGCTGGCTCTAGCCAATAAACTGGCTTTGCTGCTCTTTTACTGGTATGTACATTTCCACAGAATTTATGATTTTTAACAAGAATCTCTTCAGAAAAGAGTTTAAATAAACCCTAAATAATAAAATAATCGTGGGAAATGATTATTTTGCAACTCAGTCCTGTTGGCTGCTGGCATTGTTCATTGGTCAGGCATCAGCCAATCAAACAGCTTTACACCTGCCCCGCCCCTCCCCCGCCCCGCGCTGCTCACGCCTCTGCATTTGCAAGTGCTCAGATGAGTTCTGCTACAGAGATCGCGGGAGATGTGTAGCAAAAGTCAGAGCGCGGGAGATTTGTAGTTGTACTGATGAATCTGAGAGGTTGTGAGTGCCGACCTGTGGTTGTAGAGCAAAGATGCATTTAAATTTGCCGTGCACACGTGTGTCTGTCACTTTGTATTTGTGAATGACATTTTACAAATACACAACTATTAATCTGCAACTTCGAATTTAAAACACAAGTGTGTGGATTGTTGTGTGTGTGTGCAAATCGAGGATTTCAGCTGTTCACATCAGAGCTGTGAGTGTACATTTCAACCTACACATACAAATATTATTATCACAAGTGCTCACATTTACATTTGCAAGCTCTCGAGTTTCGCAACTGATTTACCTTCATATTCATGCCGCTTGTGCATGCAAGCCACACACCTCCATTGGAAAAAACAAACTTGCGCAAAATCTGGAAAAGACCAATATGAGAACGGTCCCTAAAATGCCGCCATCATTTGCAATCTCCAGAAGTTGATCTTCTTGCACAGGCAAGGTGGCTTCACCTAATTTGTTGACAAATGTGTTGCGAATCCATTCCTTGGCAGTCCCTCACTGGGCATTTTCTCATTACCAAAGAAACTTTCCAAAGACATCTGTTTCTTATTCGTTTTGCTGCTTGTGGGTTAAATTTGGGCGCTCAAGTGACTAAGATGTAAGCAAGAGCGTATGGTCATTTTCAAAATAAAAGACTTTTCAAAATGAAAGATCGTTCAGACTCGGGTAATAAAATAAAACGGAAATAATTAATAATTTCTTTGGCGCCCTAGTACCAATTGATCTACAGACTGGTACTGATGGTTGAGGACCACTGTTCTCATGAATTTATACAAGAAGGACGTCTGTACACTAAGTAGCATATTTCAAATTCCCAAAAAAATATAGACAGCACCCTCTAGTAGATTTGTCATTTGAAACATGCAATGAAATATAGCTACAGTAGAGTAACGTATTTTACATTTTGCAAAAATGTCATCCAAATTGAACACAGTGCAAATTACATTCATATATATGATTTATTGATTATGGTTTTAAATCATATTCAAGTCACATTTTGGTAGTCATATTTACCCTGGCTGAATTTTTTGTGAATTTTAGTCTTACTTTCTCACACTAAGTAAAATGTAAACACATCAGACGATGTTGTGGATGATGAAATAAGCTTAGATTTGTTTCACAAACAAGGCAGTATTATGCAGGTTGAGCTGAAATCAAATCAATCTGGACTCCCAGTGTGAACAAAAACCAATTTGAAAGCGATACACAATCCCAAATTCCTCTTATAAGCACCAAAGCTAAGTGTCAATATACTAGCTACAGTATACTGTATGTCATGGCAGGCACTATAATCAGACACGTCTTCCCAACACTTATTTATACATATTCTCTACTGAGCAGAAATGATTTGTCAATTTTTGCATCAATAGGGTATTTCAGTACTGTACCTCCTCAGAGACTAGAGCAAAGCATTTCTCTCACTGCTCTTGAGATACTTTCAGTATAAATAACACATAAGCGAAGTGTCTATTCTTATCGCTTGCTAGCGTGAAATTGAGAAATCAAGCCAGGCAAGGCTGGAATAAAATAAGCAGAAGCTGTGATTGAAACAGAGAGGTCTGAGGGTGTTTAGACATCCACCTCCTTTCGTTTAAATAACCGTGCTCTTGTTTGGTGACACCTACCCTTAAATATCCACCGGCTTCATATTAAAGCCGGGTCCTGTCATTTGAGAGAGGAAAATCTGAGCAATCCTTTCCATCATTCTTTGCTCAAATACTACAACAGGGTTATATTAGCCTCTGAATTATTTACTAGCCAGCCGGAAGAGTCTTTTTGAGGTGAAAGCAGTCTTTCTTCATATTTCTGCTTGATAAATTATTTATTCAGGGCTTGATTAGAAATATCAGACTTGGCTAAGTGTTTTGTTTCTTTCACAGTGCACTGGAAAAAAAGGGCTAGTGTGTAGTGTTAGCTTGTTCAGTGCTGTGTGTGTGTGTGTGTGTGTGTGTGTGTGTGTGTGTGTGTGTTTGTGTGTGTGTGTGTGTGTGTGTGTGTGTGTGTGTGTGTGTGTGTGTGTGTGTGTGTGTGTGTTTATAATGGATATGTGTTTAGTTTTGATATATCTAGGTAATCGCTGGTTTATTTTGTAGCTCAGAAGAGTGGAAGAAAGTGAGCAAGAGTGAGAGAGAGAAGCTGGGCGTCACTGTTCAGGATGATGGAGAGTTTTGGTGAGGTTTGCTCATTTATATTTATGCGTTTAACAGCATTTTGCTTTCATCTATGACTTGCTAAAAAAGAGCAGAAGCAACACATATGGGTGAAACACTGACATATCTTTAACTTTCACTGGTAAAAATTATTATCTTTTGCTAATTATCTAATGCTTTTGCATTTCTTATGTTAATAAATTTAAAGCATTTGGCTGATATTAGAGTTCATTGTATATTATATTATATTATATTATATAATATTATATTATATTATATTATATTATATTATTTTATATTATATTATTATATTATATTATATTATATTATATTATATTATATTATGTTATGTTATGTTATGTTATGTTATATTATATTATATTATGTTATGTTATGTTATGTTATGTTATATTATATTATATTATATTATATTATTTTATATTATATTATATTATACTGACACAATAAATGAAACTCATTTACTTTACAATGGGGTTCCATTTTTTAATGTTAGTTAATGTATTTCATTAATTTACTAACACTCACAAACAATACAAATATATTTATTTCAGTATTTATTAATCCTTTGTAGCATTAGTTAATGGACATTAAGTTGTTAATTGTTAGGTCACATTAACTCACTAATTTTAACACATTACAAGTAACATGAGTTATTGTGTGTAATAATATTACTTTGCTAGGTAATGAGTAAAATAACGCATTACTTTAAAAATTAAGTAATAATGTTTGAGTTACTCTTTTAAAAAAATGTAACACAAGTTAATTTTTTTTTCAATTAATTAACTTTTAAAAAGTAAATTAGTGAAATAGAATTGAGATGAAAAAATGCGTTCATCATTTTGAACTCTAAGACAAAAAGCACAAAAGCATCAAACGCATTGCTTTAAACTATTATTAGTCTCTATATATAGAGCTCTTGGGACAGGAGTTCTCAGAAGATAACATTAGTAGTTTTAGATTTTTTTAAGGCAAATAAAGATGTACACTGAAAATATGTAAAGTTGATTCCTTGGATTTACTAATTTGTTATGTTAAGTGGTTGTAAACAATTTATTTGGGCTAAATTTAACTAAACAAATTAGGTTGAATATTATCAAATTTAATGTGCTTGTTTAAATTCAACACAAATAAATTGCTTTCAGTGTAGGTTATACAGTGTGTTGTAAATTGCTGAGCTACTCTATTTAAAAAAGAAAAAACACCTTCAAGTTCTGAAAGAGACCAAACCTCAGCCAGGTAAGAAAAAACACCTCATGCAAAAGTAACTCAAAAGTAACATAATGCATTGCTTACCATAAAAGTAACTGAGTAATGTTACTTTTTAGAAGAGTAATTCAATATTGTAATGTATTACATTTTTTGAAGTTATTTTCCTTAACTATGGATTTTAATAATGCATTAGTACATGTTGGACTATGATTAATAAATGGTGTACAGGATTGTTCATACTGTACCTAACATTAACTAATGAAACCATATTGTAAAGCATGACCAATATCACATATTCTTACAATCATCCATTTTTTTTACAACATTAAACATTTTTTACAGTTGTCAGTCAAGAAATATACCATTGTGAATGTTAATGCATTAATGTTAATTTGAAACACCCTGTAATGACAACTATTTTATCTGTACTGTATATGCAGAAATTAACATGAATCTATTTTAATAAAGTAAATGTGTATAGGATATTAAAGAGCTCTTATTATGGGTTTTTGAAAATTACCATCTATGCAGTGTGTAACACAGCTCTAAGTGAATGGAAACATCCAGCTGAGGTTTAAATCTGAAAATCTGAACTGTTTAAAACTAGTGAATTTTCTGAGTCGACTCAGAATCAGATTAATTATTCGTCCTTTATTCGTTTCCCTAAACGGGTCGACGTCGATAAAGGACATTGGAAAATTAAAAATTTAATTTGGAAAATTATAGTTTGCAAAATATGTATTTAATTGTGTTGTAACTTGTAATCGCTTTGCATGGCTTGAAACACTTATCTAATATAGATCAGTGCTTGTAATGTATCTCTCAGGTTAAATCTGTATGGGGCTATTCACATATTACGTTCAAAACCTTGCTAAAAATGTGTTTCTCTCCATGTCTCGCTAAACTCAGTCGACCAATCACAACAGACTGGGTCATTGGGCCAATCAATACAGATAAGCTTCGGGATTAGCTTCAGGTTTGGGAACAAATAAATCGCTAAACAAACCATATGGAACTCATTGGGATAATTAGGTAAAAATAAATGCATATTATAAGACAATGAAAGTGTTTTTTGAACTTGCATGCATATCAGCAGGTTGTTGGAGACCTGCAAAACCAAAATATGACCTTTTATAATGCAATTGAGGGGCTCCTAAAATTGTTCAGAAAGTGTTTAAATTAGGAAAATAACTTAAGAGTGTCTTGAATCCATTTGATATATTACCCTTTTGTTCCTTACAAACCTTTCAAAATCAGGTTTTATTAGAATTTTTTAAGGAACCATGTGTAGGTTTTATAGACTGCATCTAATGAACAACTAAATTCACCTATTACCAAACATCTGGCTATGAACTGCACCACCAGGATGAACTTTGAGGATTTCTGTCACTACTTCACGGACCTGATCCTGTGTCGACTCATCAACACGTCCTACTTAAGCATACATAAGACCTGGGAAGAGGAGGTGATGAGGGGCTTGTGGCTTCACCGAGATGAACCGCTCCGCAACCGTGCCGGAGGCTGCATTAACCACAAAACCACATTTCTGCAAAACCCACAGGTCGGTCAGTGATTCTGTGCGCATCTGCCTTGTCAAATGCAATTGTTGTCCTGGAGGCATTTAAAGCTCTGGGGCTTCACTGGAATGAGTTTAACATGTGTTTCTGTCCACAGTATGTTTTTGATGTGAGAAAAGTGGAAGATGAGGTGCTGATCTGCCTGCAGCAAAAGGAACGCAGAGCTACTCCAAAGGAGGGCAAAGGAGAGAATCTGGCCATTGGATTTGATATCCATAGGGTACAGAATTACATGCACACGGAAATATCATATTACAAAGCTTCACATTTGAATGCTAAAATATGTATGGTATAGAATTGTATGACATCTTGTTTCTGATATAGAATAAAATGTACTTATGATTTTTCATTTAAGACTTATTTCTTTAGAATGAACTTACAAATGCAAAATATAAACAACTTACAAATCAGAATGAATTAATTTAGATTCATAATCTCTGAGAAAAAAGTAAGAATTTGAGTTTATGAAGTCAAAATTATGAGAGAGCCTATATACACTTAGTTTAATTCTTTTAAACTCCAAATTGCATGAAAATAAAATCCAGATAACTCAGGATGTAACCTCAGAATTGTGAGAGAGCCTATAAACTCACAATTCTGAGAAAAATAGTCATAATCTTTGAGATATAAACTCAGCATTTAAAAGTCACAATTGTGTCAATGAGATATGCAGTCTCAACTTGCATTATCGAGTCTGCATCCAGATACTATTGAATTTTTGCCCTATTTTGACCAAGCCTCTTTGGTACCACCAGGTGGAGTTGAACAGAAAGTACAGAATGCACTCGGCGCAGCAGAAGGTCGCAGGGTCCATCTACATCAACTCTCGCTGCGTTTTCCTCCGGAAAGAGCTAAAGGAGGGCCGTTACGTCATCATCCCCACAACATTTGACCCCGGTCAGCAAGGAGAGTTCCTGCTCAGAGTCTTCACTGATGTGCCTTCAGACTGCAAGTAATAATAAAAACACGTTAGGCATGCTGGGTGCTTCGTTCGAAAGGCTGACCTTATTCCTGACTTTATTTCCTTAGAGAATTAACTCTGGACGAGCCTCCACAGACATGCTGGACTGGGATGTGTGGATACCCTCAGCTGGTCACACAGGTGCATGTGTTAAGTGCCGAGGGCCTGCAGGGCCAAGACGCTAATGGAGGTATGAATAGTATTTCTGGTAACAATAAAGGCCCACTAAAGGAATTTTGCATATTTACTATAATATTTTTTTCTTTTGGAGAAAGTCTTTGTATATAAAATTAGCCCCCTTAAGCAATATTTATTTTTTCAATTATCTACAGTACAAACCAAATAAAATAAAATAATAATAAAAAAGGAATGCAATAATTTACAAATCTCATAAACTTATATTTTATTTACAAAAGAATATAGATAACATATCAAATGTTGAAAGTGGGGCGTCATGGTGGCGCAGTGAGTAGCACGATCACCTCACAGCAAGAAGCTTGCTGATTCGAGCCTCAGCTAAGTCAGTTGGCATTTCTGTGTGGAGTTTGCATGTTCTCTCCATGTTCGCATGGTTGTGCTCCGGTTTCCCCCACAAATCCAAAGACGTGTGTTATAGGTGAATTAGGTAAGCTAAATTGTCCGTAGTGTATATGTGTGAATGAAAGTGTATGGATGTTTCCCAGTGATGAGTTGCAGTTGGAAGGGCATCCACTGCGTAAAATATATACTGGATAAGTTAGTGGTTCATCCCGCTGTGGCGACCCTAGATTATTAAATGACTAAGTAAAAAAAAAAAAAAAGGAATAAATGATTGATGAAAGTGATAAAATTAAAAAATTTCGGGACAAATGTTGGCTCATTTTTGATTTCAAGACAGCTACGCATTCCAAAAAAGTTGGGACAGGTATCAATAACAGGCTAGAAAAGTCAAATGTACATTGGAACAGCTGGAGGAGGATGACCAGTTTGCCCAATGTGGTGCAAAAAATAGTAGAGCAATATCAGAAAGAAGTTTCTCATCGAAAAATTGCAAAGAGTTTTAAGTTATCACCATCTACAGTGCATAATATCATCCAAAGATTCAGAGATTCTGGAACCATCTCTGTGCAAAAGGGTCATGGCTGGAGAACCATACTGGATGCCCGTGATCTTCAAGCTCTAAGACTGCACTGCATCACAAACAGGAATGCTACTATAAATGGAAATCACAATATAGGCTCAGGTGTACTTCCAGAAAACATTGTCGTTGAACACAATCCACCGTGCCATTTTCACAGTCCACCATGCAGGCGTTTTCTCTGGTCCAAGGCTCATTTAAAATGGACTGTGGCAAATTGAAAAATGTTCTGGGGTCAGACAAAACAAAATTTAAAGTTCTTTTTAGAAAACTGGGATGCCATGTCATCCCGACTATAAAGAGGACAAGGACAACCTAAGTTGTTATCGGCGCTCAGTTCAGAAGCTGTTGAAGTTTAGGACTTCCGCCTCAACAATTTGTACAGTGTCTCAACTATTTTGGAATCGGGTTTGTATAATGATTTGCCTAATTGTTCAACTACTAACTGATTTGCCTGCCAAATCAGTTCGTAGTTGTACATGACAATGTACAATTAGGCAAATCATTGTACTACTAACTTGCCTAGTTACCCTTATTAGCCTAGTTAAGTCTTTGACTTAAAGCTGAATACCAGTATCTTGAAAAATCTCTAGTAAAATATTATGTAGTTAACATGGCAAAGATAAAAGAAATCAGTTTTTAGAAATTAGTTATTAATAGTATGATATTTAGAAATTTGTTGAAAAAAATCTTCTTTTCATTAAAAAGAAATTAGGGAAATATATACAGGGGGGCTAATAATTCAGAGTTCAGCTGTATACAGTGTGAGTCAAAGAAAAGACAAGCTATTTTTGTGTCTATAACAAGTTAAATTTAAAGGAGTGATCTTTAATGCACACTGTTCAAATGTAAGTGAGGTGAATATTTAGACAGTTAGAGCAATAAAACATCAAAATAGGGGTGAAAAACATCCCTTTGTTGTTCAGTGTAAAATAAATGTACAGTATGTGTATGTTTGTATATGTGTATATGTGTAAAATTGAACAACAATTATTCTAAATTGTGCAGTATTTTAAATGATTAAAAAATGTTTGCTGACAAATGTGTAAACACTAGCTCTTTAAAGATGCAGCAAATTATAAAAAAAGATTTTGGGGGCTGTTTATATGTCATCAAATTATTATTGTTTAAAATATGTATGACAAGATTTTTTAGTTTATAAACTGTTGATACACTAAATTTAGATTTTAGCTTGTGTCTTCTGTAAATTATGATCAAAAATGTCTGAAAGTTGTTATTATTTACTTTATTTTTAGAAAATTCTTTTTTGATCCACATATTGTATTAGTGTATGTACCATAAAATAAATATCTAAATATATTAAATAAATGAAAAAACTTGGATTCCATTGATACCAATGTATTTATAACTGCTCATACTGTATATTCATAGATTGTTCTCATAGATTTTCCCTTGAAACCAGTGCTACAGGCTAATCTGTAGTCACGTTGTAAGGATAGTTCACCCAAAAATGTGACTATTTTTGTCACAGTTGGATACAGTAAATTATTTATGGGTGACTTACTCCTTTAAGAAAAATTCAGAGAGTCAGAGTTCAGACTCTTAATCTGTCTGAAGCTTTTACATATGGAAATCTCTTTTGACCGCACACAGAGCTGCACTGCTTGATCTCCCACAAGACTCACTCTGACTTTTGCACACGAGGTAATGACTTTTAGTTGCTGTAAGTGTCTGTCTCGTTTTGCCTTATAGAAATGTGAGCGTTTTATATGTTTAATGTGGATTGTTCCTTAATCTGCAACATTACTGTCTCTTGTTTACTTTTATTGTTGTGCTTAATAGCGAAAAAAGCTTTGGCTTTGCCATCAAAATTTATTTTGTTTTGTGTTCAAAGAAAACTGAACATGATTTTTGTCCTGTTTTTTACTAATGTCAATTTTTTAATTTATTACATATTTAAATTAATAGAATTGATTGTTAATTGTTATTAACTGATAATTGATTCTGGATTTAGATATTGGTCTTGTGCTTTCATCAAATAGAGATACAAATGATTAATTTCCAGAACATACTCATTCACTGCTCCTTGCTGGTGGAAATATTCAGAAAAAACATCAGTTCTACATTTTGCTAAAAGGTCTTTCTCTGCACTTTTACTGTTCCTTTATACATATTTATTTTAGCTTATATAATTCTCTGGAAATATCCAGGTGGGCTCCACATGGGCAACAAACTTAATAAGCACAATCAATGCCATATAAGGCCCTAAGTGGGCCCTATGTGGGCAACCCCGGATGGGCCCCATGCGGCCCCAAGTAGGAAACACACTTAACATGGGCAACATGCAACCTATTAAAATAGGTTAAACATGGGTAGACCATATACCATATAGAGCCCCAGGTGGGTATGCCAAATGGCAAATCCAGATGGGCCCCAGGGAGGCTCCACATGGGGAAAGCACTCAATATGTGCAACACACAAGGGTCCTACTTGGGTTAAACACATAGGTTAAACAAGGAAAAACACAGTCGATGCCATATAGGTTGCTTGTGTGGGTGACAAGTAGGTGATCAGTAAATGGCTTCAGAGTTGGTAAACACATTTGGGCCTCACATGGGCCACGCCAGTGTAGCGCCACATGGGCAAACCCCTTCATAGTGGGTAAAATGTTAGAAAGGATTGAAATTTGCAGTTTAGCTTGCTGCTTGTGGTGCAGATTTGCGTCTTGTTAAAGGTCATAATTAGGAAAACATTGGGAAATAGTATAATAGTATAATATTTTGTCATATGTAGTGTTTTGCTGACTCATGACTCTTTTTCTCAGCCTCTGACCCGTATGTGATCATCACCTGTGAGGGGGAGAAGGTCCGCTCTCCTGTGCACAAGGACACGCGCTGCCCTAATTTTGACATCAAGGGAATATTCTACCGCAAAAAGCCAAAGGAAGGCATTCACATCGAGGTGAGTTGGAAGTATGTAATTACATCTCTTCCTCCTTCAGTCCTTCTCATCAACTGCTACAGATCTCCTTCCCTGTGCTGCTCTGTTCCTCTCACATTATTTCTGCTTCTCTTCTCTTATTTCCCACTTAACCCTTCCAACTGCTCCGTGACCCACTCAGATCTACAATAAGAATGTGATTGTTGACACCTTCCTGGGTCAGGTGACCCTCTTTAGTGACCCAAATGATCGCCAAGAGCAGCACACGGTCTACCTTAAAGACAAGGGCAGTCGGCAGGACAACAACCTTCCAGGGACGCTGACTGTGCGTGTGATCACCTGCACCACTTTAACCAACATCTGATCAGAATCCAAACACCTGCATCCCACTGTTTCACACTCTCTGCTTGGGTTCCTCATTCACCCACAATGCCTTTAGCCCTTATAGTTTACTACAGTAAAGGGATGGTTCACCTAAACAATGACAGTTCTGTCATTATTTACTCACTGTCATGTCATTCTAAACCCTCTTGTTTTCATGGATCAAAAAAATTAAGATGAACATTCATAGCTGGTATTGAGTACATATCAAGCTTGAGTACATATTGAGTACATATTTGATCAAGCTTCTCAGCAGGTACTGACCATGCCAATAAAGCATAATACAATTTTGTCAATTAAGCACAGTATATCACATTTGTTTTGAATCTATATAATATCTTCAGTGAAAAACAGACTGAAATTTACATTTTCATCCAAAGATGCGAATTAGGCTTAAGCTCAAAACAAAATATCATGTCCCATCGTACATATCACATCTGTTAAAACCAAATCACATGACTTTTTTTGATGCACATGCTAGAATGTGTTCAGTAAATGTGTTTCCATCAACGTTTTTGCTAATTTTTTATGCGCATTTTCAAACTTTATGCGCATCTTCTGATTGTGTGCGATGGTTCAAAATGTGCATAATAATAGGTGGATGGGAACATAGCTATTTTTATTGAGTGGTAATCATGTTGACTGGATTGAATGACTGATTTGAACTTGATTCTTTTTCTTGACAGTGAACCATTTGATCTGATTCACACATCAGTTCTCGAGGTCTCACTCAATTTCTATTGATCCTTGACTCATTGATCCATTTTCCAGTGGTTCTCTATTTAATGCTGTGACCTCATGAAACAGCATATGTGTTTTTAACATGACATTGAGTGCTTTATTTCCGGGTGAACTATACTTTCAATCCCCATCATTCATGATCATATATTGCAATGAAGGGCTATGCATTGTGTTTGCATGAGCAGCTGAAGTGATCAAGATCCTTGAGGAGTCTGAGGCGCATGATCAGCCATGTCTCGTCTCCCAGATCTGAGTTTCAGCCCAGCCCTGGCAAATCATTCAAAACCAGTTTTCCTCTTGTCTCTCTTTCCATCCCTTTTGTCCTCCACGCATTCAGTCATGACATATTCAGTCAGTGTCAACAGCTGTGCCCGTCCACACAGCTTGATCTTTAGCGAGACCCGATCGGCTCTCATTTGACTGGAAGATTTCAGTGGCCGGTGGGGCACAGCGGGCACCTCTTTGGATCCTCCGGGTCATGTAGCTTAGCAACAGAAGTCTGGAATAGAATACCGGAGCATGAAGATAAGTTCTGCTCTTACCAGTGGACACGTGCTATCAAAAGCCCACCTGGAGGATCTGCCATGCCACTTTCTGCCTGAAAAAAATGGATGGGCATTACCAGTATGCCAGGGTGGTTTGATAAACATTTTACCATTATCTTGAATGTGAGTGTGTGTGTGTTTGTGCATGTTTGGGTGACCAGATAGCCCTGATTTGATGAGCCATGTCCCACATATTTGTGAATAATTGATCTTCTGCTTTAGTAAAAATGTCATTAATATGATTTTTTAATGCTTTTTCTAGCATTAGAAACCCGCTGTGTGACTGTAACAAAAATACTGTTTTATGCACCCTGTTGCCAATATTTTTTAATATAAGAGTTTTTAATTTTTTTACATTTTTTTTATTTTGACTTTTACTTTAACTTTATTTTTGCTACACTCTTAGAAATAAAGGTATAAGAGCTGTCACTGGGATGGTACCTTTTTAAAAGCTACACATTTGTACCTAAAGGGTTCCTAATAATACATCAAGGGTACATATTAGTACCTAAAAAGTACAAAAGTGTTCCTCTTAAAATGTTTAGGTACAAATGTAAGGTTTTGAGGTACCATCTAAGGACAAATGTTTATCTTTTGAAAAGGTACCTACCACCCCAGTGACAGCTCTTGTACCTTTATTTCTGAGAGGGTATGTGCCCTTTTAACACTGTCGTTATTGACTTTAGTAGCTTTTAACATGTACAACCTAAAATCAAAACCAAACATACAAAATAATAATAAAATCTATACAAACATATAAGTAAATGCATGTACTTACACATAAAATATAAAGGTACATCATATAACAACAACGGTATATCAATGGCAGGTGATACAAGTTATACAAAGAAAAAAAAGTTTCAGCTTCCTTCAGGAAACCTACAAAGGGATCCCTAATTTTGAAAAACATTTCAGGTTTTCCCTTGACTATTTAAGTAAAATTTTCTATAGCCAAATATAAGATAATTCCTGCAACCATTGACCAGAATGCAGGCTTTCTGTATTTTTTCTAAAACGAGCTGTTATAAGTTTAGCATATAAACAGAAAGTTAACAGTTTCTTGTCTGAACTAGTAAAAGTGCTTGTAACAGGAACAAATATTTAGAATACACATTTTTTGACATTTGGGTATATCCTGTTTTAATGCTCTGGACAAAAAGTTTAGAATTTTCTCCTAAAAATTCATCCAAATATCCTGGTTATGTCCCCGAATAGAGAACAGAGACTTGTGTCTGGTAACAGACAATGGGAGTACACCAGTCTCCCATGCAGGGGAATGAGACTTTCATAAACAGTGATATAAAGTTCCTTACTCTTTTGCTATGTGCTTTTAGTAATTGTGTCGTTCTTTTTTATATTTCTGCTATTATTATTTCAATTCTAGTTATTTGTAATTTTAGTAATTGTTTTTCAATTATTTCCAAGGCAGCATTTGTCATCTCATGTTGAGATGAAAACGTATTACTGAATAACTCTCAACTGTTTTTATTTTTTATTAATTGATATTTATTTATTATTGCCTTATTTTTATAATCTTTAAATTCTTCCACAGTGTGAAGGCAAAAATGGTGCTTGCTTGCAGATTTTAACATTTTGTTTCAAAAATGTTGCACAAAAATTTCAAACATTAGGTCACAGGCTAGCGTTTATAATGTTGTTATGATTTAAAAGTTGACCCAGAGATCCAAACATTTTAATTTAATTTAATTTAATTTAATTTAATTTAATTTAATTTTAAAAAAATTAATTAATTTTTTTATTTTATTCATTTATATATTTTTTTATTTTGCTTTATCCAGCATACGCAATTATAATTAAGCAACATTTGAAAAAAAAAAATGGCTTCCATTTAAAATTTTCATGGAAATCATGAAATCATTGAGAAATAAAAAGGCTTAATGTTAACTTAAGATGTTTGACTTAAGATGTAGGGTAACAAAAAGATATTTTAATTTCTTTTAAAAATCTTACAAATGTATTTTCTGTTATTTTAGACATTTTTTAATTAAAAATGAAACAAAACCAAAATGTGCTTTTTCTAAATATCCCAGTTTTATTATCATGGTTGTCTGGTCTCCCTGGTATGTGTGTGTGTGTGCATGTTCGTTTATGTGTGTATCTGTGAGAGAGATCTGTTGGCCATCAAACTCAACCTAAGGACCGTTAAAAGGTTATGCATGTTTAAATCAAAGGGAAAAAAACTTTACCAGTGCTAGCGGTGCTCAAAGGATGAAGAGCAGGCCTTTGGACCCACACATATCTCTGGGTTTACCTCACTCTTACTCTGAGGATCGCCGCGTAAAACAAGGATTTGTCTGTGTCTTATTGACTCTTTAGTCAGACTCCTGCCAAACAGCATGTGCCATTGTTTGAGATGCGCAAGAACTGCTGCACGATTGCATTAACAGACATTCTGTACTTAAGAGAAGATCTTCTTTCGTTTCTTTTTTTTTGTTCCTGGACTTCTCTTGACAGACACTTGGTGACTATCATCACCAGCTTTGTGTCCTTTCCAATGGCTAGGTGTGCTGTTCCACCAGAGACTGCTACAGGACTCTTTGTGCACTACAACATCTTGTTTATGCTTCATGCCAAGATTTCAGTCACTATAAGTGAGTTTTGGAAAACTGACAAAAAGTCCACATCAGTCTTTTATCATGGTTTGATATGTTTTAGCATCTTCTTACGTGTCTGTTTTATTGTTTGAATGTCAGCCACACTAAAAGTAAAAGTAATAATATGTAAGCATCCTTACTTGAGAAGCTGCATAACATATTAAGAACTTTTTTATTATTATTCTTTTATTAAAATACTTTTTAGCTTTAGAAAGTTGTACTAGAATTGACATCCGGGGTCTAATTTATGAAACTGCGTAGAAACCTTCCTAAAAGTAACTGTAGGCCAGAATGAATTTTTAAGCTACATTGCTGCTTAGCATAATTGAGTACACGCCATTGAATTTTTTTTAATCAATTTTTCAGTATATATAGGCAATGTATTTTGTTGCATTTAAACAAAACAGATTTAAAAAAACAGATATATTTATTAAAATAGTATTTTAGTCACCAAACATGTTTAAAAATTGAAAGATAAAACAATTAAATTCAAGCAAAATATTGAAAAAAAAACTACAAAATTTCAACCAAATGTTTCAATTTTTTTATTCTCTTGGTTTTTAATCTTTTTTTTTTTTTTATTATTATTATTTCTCTAAAACATATAAATTTGGGTGTACAAGTTATCAGGACCGTTATCAGAAGCTATTTTGTTAGATATGCTCCAGATTTGGCTTCGGTACAGACTAATCTAATGTATATCCACAAATATAATATTGTATAGCTTCCTATTAAAAATAGGAATTTAAAAGATAGATTTGTGAGGGGTGTACTCATATATGCTGAACACTGTATTAATTAATCATTATGGCTTGTATGCTAATTTAAAGTGGTTCAATTAAGTCAATATTTAAGTTAAATGTGTTTACTTTCTCCTTTTCAAGTTTATTCACATCTTCTTGCATGGAAGTTTTCTCCTCAGTTTTGTGCGTACTCCACATTTATGAGATTTATGAGACCCCTGGTGTTTTTTATTTATTTATTAATATTTCATAACAATAAATAAATTAAAATAAAAATGCATATTACATTTTTTTAAATTACAAAGATATTAGATGGCATGAATCTTGCTAACTATAACTGTCCTGATATTTTGACTTATAAGTTTATTTCACTATATTCCAATTAAATACTAATCATGCAAACTATATATTGTAGGAAAGGTTTAGGTAATCTGAATACATATTTTTTAGGGTTTTTTTCTTATGTTGGTAGAGTAAAATATTTACGATCACGATTTAAACCCTGGGACCATTTGCGGTTAAATTTTGAAACTATAATATTCTATAGTCTAAACATAAAACATACATTTTTAGTTTCCATATCTGGATAACAGTCTTTTATTAATTTTCCACAAGAGTACTCGTTGGAGTTATAAAGCATTACTTTGCTACAGAAATCTAGATGTAAAAACAAACTATTTTTTGAGGTTAAATTAAAATAAAATACTACCAAACTGCCATTACCACTTTAGAATTTGATGTCTACTTTACAAATATTGTCAAAGTATGAAAAAATAGGGTTCATATTTCTCAAAACATACACAAGGGTGCCTTCATACGGTCACCAATGGAACCTGAATTTCAACTGGTGGTCATGTTTGGTACTGCGGCTAAACAAAATCTTACTGAAAGCTCATTTTATTTATATACTATTTTTTTTAGCTTCATAAATTTAAAGACACATACAATTTATTTTATTTTATTTTATTTTTTTAATTTTACAGCTACAGTCTGACATCTGTCTTCTTTAAGTGTCAGTAATCATCAATGTTTATGTAAGCTGAACATGCCGTTGACTTCTAAATAAACAATATCCACAATAAGTTAACGAAAAATCTATATATTTTTAAATAAATATTCATTTAAAAGTACTCTTGATATCTTATGCAGTTTTACATTTTAAGCATGTTGATGTATTTACATTAGACAAGACAAAAATAGCGATGTGCTGAGCTGAAAATGAATTCCATCATACCTTATATTTGCTATTTTATAGATCTATTCTGCAGTCATTGCTGTTTATTCATTATTGCCACCTAAGTGTTATTTGTTTTTAATAATCCTTCAATTCTTCCACAAAGTGAAGGCCAAATGGTACATGAACAACCAAGAGCCTGTTTGCAGTTTTTAACATTTTGTGTCAAAAAATAATGTAGCATAAGAATCTAAAACATTAGGTTATGATGACTACTGTTTATAATTTTGTAATGTTTCTAAACCAAGCGAGTATTGACACTCAAACCTAGATGAGCAAGAATAGAAGAGAAAAACAGCGTTATATACTGTACCAAGTTTTAACAAAGCAGTGCCAATCAGACTAACAATGTTGAATGACAGGAGCACGCCTAAGCCCAGCAGATTAGCCCTTGACCAAATGTGGCACATCCAAGAAGAAATGATTTTATTCAGGACTGAATGAAGCATTTTTTTCTTTAGCTCCATTACATTTTAGTTTTATACAACCAAATTGAATCCCCAACAATAGCCCAGTCATTCTTTTACATCATTTGTGCCTCCACAGGCCAGATTTAGACGGGTAAACAAGGGATTTAGAAAGGAATTTTTTTTGTCTATGAATGGCTTTACTTATCTCCATTTTAACCAGACTGAATTAGATAATAGAAAGGGGTTTGTACTGTTTTTAGGGCATTGATGGTTCCACGAATAACCCTTTCAATTGCGCAAATGTATTTTAAAGTGTTTAAAAATAGTTTGAAAAGCTCATTAAAAATAAGGTTCTTTTGGGAACACTTCCCAAGAAAAAGAAACGCTTTTGAAAGCTTTTTTAAGTGTATTGATTGGTATCTCAAATTTTTTGAATGAATGTGAATTTTTCATTTCTTTATTACCCTGAAGTCTAACACTGTGGCACTATTGCTCTGTTTGTTTGAGCAATCTGACCAGCAATATTGGCTTAAATCAATAGGCTGACTTTAGGGGCGTGGCTATCTCTTTGTCTGGCCAATAGTGAGTGCGGGACGTGTTCTGTGCATTTTTGTGTTCAGAAACTTATACCTTTTAATAAATAGCCTTAAATCTAGTCAGTTTGCTGTTGAACACAACAAACCTTGCATTCTTCTTTTATGTTATTTCATCCAAAGCATAAATCTGTCAATTTTCTGTTTTATTGAGAATTCTGTGAAAGATGCCAATGTGCCAGTACAGTTGGAGCCATATGCATTTTGTGTCTTTTTTCTTTCTTTATTGTTTTGCCAAATAACACACAGCTATGGAAAAAATGTAAAGATCAAGTGAATAATGATCAGTTTCTCTGGATTCAATAGGTATGGGTTTGAGTTAAATGATGGAATTGTTCTGTAAAATTCAGAGAAAATTTGTTAAAAAATATTGACAGGTAATATTTTATTTTTATTTGAGGCATCAGGGTGGCACAGTAGGCAGCACAATTGCCTCACAGCAAGGTTGCTGGTTTGAGCCTTGGCTGGATCAGTTGGCAATTATGTGTGGAGTTTGCATGTCCTCCCCGTGTTCGTGTGGGTTTCCCCCAGGTGCTCTGGTTTGCCCCATTAGTCCAAAGACATGCGGTAGATGTGAATTGAATAAGCTAAATAAGGTAAATTGATCAGAATAAGATTTTTAAAATTGCTATGATTGAAAATCTGTAATTTCTCCAAATATTTAATTCTTAAACTTCATTGTCTTAAACTGAATATAAAAATGTCTGAAAAGGTAAATCAGTGTTTCTCAACCGGAGGACCACAAGCTCTGCACATTCTCCATGTCTCCTTAACCAAACACACCTGATTCAGATCATTAGCTCATTAGCAGAGACTGAAAGACCTGTAATGGGTGTGACAGAAAAAGGAGACATCCAAAACATGCAGTGTTGGTGGTCCTACAGGAACATGGTTGAGAAACATTGACATAAGTGACAAAATTTTTAGTTAAAAATATGAAGAAATGTTATTAGTAGTTTACAAAATACATTTTGCACCAATTCTGTATTGACTTTAGGTTTGATGTTATCACACCGGGGAAGGCAGCGGCGCAGTAGGTTGTGCTGTCGCCTCACAGCGAGAAGGTCGCTAGGTCGCTGGTTCGAACCTCGGCTCAGTTGCTGTTTCTGAGTGGAGTTTGCATGTTCTCCTTGCCTTTGCGTGGGTTTCTACCTGGTGCTCCGGTTTCCCCCACAGTCCAAAGACATGCGGTACAGGTGAATTGGGTAGGCTAAATTGTCCGTAGTGTATGAGTGTGTGTGTGAATGTGTGTGTAGATGTTTCCCAGAGATGGGTTGCGGCTGGAAGGGCATCCGCTGCGTAAAAACTTGCTGAATAAGTTGCTGGTTCATTCCGCTGTGGCGACCCCGGATTAATAAAGGGACTAAGCCGACAAGAAAAGTCGTTATCGTAGTTGTGAATGTTATCACACCTGTATAAATAAATATTAACATTTTACTCAAACCCATACCCAATACATTTAATAAATCAAAATGATAAAATTCAGGTAGCCTCTTCATTTTTTCATAGACGGATGTGTCCATTGGCAAATAATTATGAACTTTTGAAGTTCAAATGCCTTTCAGTGTCAATTGTGTGTGTTTGTTTGTTTGTTCAGTTTTCCGTTGAATTCTCCTCAACCCTGGCCATGCAATAGAACAAGGTCCTGGTTCACTCAGATAGTTGTGCATGCTTCAGATCAAATAGAGGAACGTTTGCCATGTCGTGTGAAGTGGATCTGGATGCTGCTTCCGTGATCTTACACTGCATGTGGGTTCGTGTTTGTTTACAAACCAGATTTTTACACAGTATGACTTTATAAAGTAACACGGCACACACTGTTTCTGCAGCTTATGCAATGCGTCCATGATGGAGACAAACATTTGCAGAGGATTTCCATTTTCACTCTCAACATGAGACTTTAAATTGCTTATAATAATCACATGGCAAATTGAAATCCTCTGAAGCGCTGGCATTGTTTGGAGTGTTTCTGCTGGCTGTTTTTTTTTTTGTGATGTTTGTGGCTCTGCTGCATGTACTTTGGCTGAGTGAACCTCTTTTCTTTACCACACGCCGTCATGCCATGTTGGACTTTCTCTATAGGCATCTTGATAGAGTACAGCCTTAAAAACCAGTGAATGCTTGTGGAGCGAGTGAATCTTATCGCTCTGTCATTTTTTTGACATGGGTCAGACGTCCAGAGAATGAGCTTGTGATACTCTTGTATTTTTTCTGCTGATGTTGAACTTGAAACTGACGTACACATACATATATATCTATATATACATAAACAGAAATCTACAGAATATCTTCTTGCATGGTATCATTCTATGAAGCATAGCTGAGATATTATCTTTATAACAAGTATCTTTTATCAGCATTTTATACTCCTTTGTTTACTGTTTTATATCTAGCCATTGAATCTTGTGTTCAGAAAAAGAAAAGAAAAACGAGCAGACACTGACATATATATGATATATTTACTGATTGTAGGGTTTTCTGTATTTTATCTCTGTTTAAATGTGTTTTATTTTTGCGTGTGAGTCTCTCCTGGGTTACACTGTGGTTATTTGATAAACTTATTTGAAGTACCTTTTTTTCTTTTGTATTTTGTCAACTTGTGGCATGACTTTCAAATAAAAAAGAAAAAAAAAACTTTCAGGAGTTTTTCATTGAGCTAATTTTGGCATACAAGGATTTTCAAAAATGCATTTTCTGTATTTTCTTACTTCACTTATGCTGCACTATTTCACTTCCGTTTTATATGCACACATACTATTTTGACATGGCACCATGTAGGTGAGTAAACAGATGTTTAAATACTCTTTCAAATTTGTATTTCATTTTATTGTTGTGTTTGTTTTCATTTGTTTGGTTTGTTATGTTTTGATGGCTACATAAAAGAGGAAACTGATATATACTTTTATAACACTATTGTTTTTTGTGTTTTGTTTTGTTTGTTTTGGTTGTTTTGTTTGTTTGTATTGTTTTGTTTTGTGTTGTTTGATTTGTTTAGTTTAGTTTAGTTTTGTTTTTTTTTGTGTGTTTTGTTTTGTGTTTTGTTTGATTTGTTTTGTGTGTGTGTTTTGTTTTGTTTATTTTGTTTTGTTTATTTTTGTTTGTTTTTTTGTTTTGTTTTGTTTTGGTTGCTGTTTTGTTTGATTTTTTTGTGTGTGTGTGTGTGTGTGTTTTGTTTTGTTTGTTTTGGTTGTTTTGTTTGAATTGTTTGATTTAGTTTTTGTGTTTCGTTTTGTTTTGGTTGTTTTGTTTGTGTTTTTGTTTTGTTTTGTTTGGTTTTTTTGTTTTGTTTTGTTACATGAAGGTGAGTAAAATATGAAATATTTGTTGTTTTGTTTTGTTGTTTTGAAAGCTACATAAAGTTAATTATACTTATTAATATTAAATTATACAAAATTGAGTTGCTGTTTTTAAATCATAGTTCTATTTTTTATTCTTTCTTTCGGATCAGAAATGTATCAGAAAAAATATTTATATAATTGATATAACAATTGTATAAGTTTATCTTAATTATTTTTTTGTATTTATTGTACACATAGTATTCTATTTATTATATTATACAACAACAAATGTAACCATTAGAGATATTATAAAGAATAAGTTTTTCAACTGCCCCTTTACGGTTATTGTATATTTTGGATTCCTGCCATTTCCACATAAGCCCAACAATCATTGGACACACCCAACATTTATTTATACATACAAAAGCTTGACCTTTTCGTGTTCGCTTTGCAGTCCAGTTTGAGGCATGAAAGAGCAGAAGGAAACAAGAACTCCTGTACTTCATCTAAAGTGACCCTCAGATCAGCCCGGCTTCCCTCCCCCACAGCCAATGCCCAAATCCCGCCCTGCTAAGCTGGATCAGAAAACTCTACCACCGCTAACCAGCTACAACATTACCCAGCATCCCACAGCAACAGGTAGCTGTTAAACACAAGCAGCACAACTGAGTGACTGTGCAAGAATCTACGTCATGCTCTGATATAACTGACACCTGTCAATGATCTGACACCAGATCAGCTTTTGAACGTGTGGACATACATCTCCATTGGGGACAGAGAGACGGACCAAGATAGAGGAAGAAGAAGAAAAAAGGAGAGCAGAACAAACACTTGAGTCACTGTGAGGTGAGCGAGGCTTAGCCGTCCAGCACATCATGCTCTTTTAAGGCTTTAGGGAAAGCTACTTACTCCTGGTTGTTTTCTGCTCTGCTGTGTTGGGTTGTGTTGGGATGTACCAGGCCTCATGAGGAACCATTTATGCCTTTCTGTACTGTTAGAGCAGAGTAGTGGGCAAAAACGATGCCTTTGGGAAATTGATAGAGTCACATTTTATTGAAGCAAATTGATGTGGTGTTGGTGTAGGTTTTCTAAGCATATTGGGTTTGGTGATGTTTGGAGCTGGTCAAACTTTTGTATGTGCTCAGAATTGTTAAAATATGCTTGTTGAGGAGTGTACAAGGACAACATTCAAGAGAGAGCTAATTAAATATTAATCACTCATTGTAGTTCAGTCAGTGTATGCTTTACTTCCTACAAGTTTTTTGTTTTTCTATGCATATTTAACATTGGCAGCAGATTTGTCAGTTTTTATCTCTTTTGGTGTCGTTCTTTCATTATATTTTGGGGATTTAATTATAATTTTAGGTTCATTAAAAGTAATTATTGTACAGATGTCTCCTCTGGACATTACCTTTAGACAGTTTTTTAGGAGAGAGAAGATACAATGCAGGATTTTGAAATACTTTCACATAAACAGGACAAAATGTTTTTCTTTGTTTTTGTCTCATTTTCTAGTTAGAAAATAGGTAGAGATCCTTACATTAGAAAGATTTTCATGGAGAAATTAAATTGTTGTAGATAAAAAGACATTTTTTGAGAGAAAATATATTTTATAACAACTATTTTTTATTTTAAACATTGTCATACAAATTGAGAAAGGTTTATTTTTAGTTTGGCACCTATTTAACATGAGCAATATTTAAGGGAAAATGTTCAAGGCTTATTTAGGCATTCGTAAGTGTATTATGGGTAAAACACACACACACACACACACACACACACAAATAAATATATATATATAAAAACAAAAATACAACAAGAATAATATACACTCAAAATAACTTAATACACTTTGACAGAAAAAATAATAATAATACTTATTAAATAATGCAGCAATAACATATTTGTCTAATATATATATATATATATATATTATGTCCATCAGTTCAACAAAATATTCACCATCTAGATTCTCCAAAAAGTCATAGAATATTTTCCAAATAGACCAAAATATATAAATTTTGTTTTTAAAAAAAAAATAGGTAATTTTTCTAAGGCAAGACAAGAGGTCATCCCCTTCATCCACTGAGATACACCAGGACTGTCTTTTTTTCCAAGAACATGCAATTACATGTTTAGCTTCCAGCAAACATAAAATTAACAGCAATTGGTCACATTAAAGTTTAATGGACAAAGAAAAAATGTCTTAAATTGAAGCGGTTCAGTGGAATAGTGCAGAATTAGTATTCTGCCTTGTTCTGTCTTATACAGTATGTACGCTATTGTAATCTATTTTAAGTTATTCATTCAATCATTTTCTTTTCGGCTTAGTCCCTTTATTAATCCGGGGTCGTCACAGCAGAATGAACCGCCAACTTATCCAGCACGTTTTTACGCAGCGGCTGCCCTTCCAGCCGCAACTCATCTCTGGGAAACATCAACACACACTTATTCACACTCATTCACTACGAACAATTTAGCCTATACCAATTCACCTGTACCACATTTCTTTGGACTGTGGGGGAAACCGGGGCACCCGGAGGAAACCCACACAAACACAGGGAGAACATGCAAACTCCACACAGAAACCCCAACTGACCCAGCCAAGGCTCGAATCAGCGACTTAGCGACCTTCTTGCTGTGAGGCGACATGACTACCTACTGCACCACTGTGAGAATGAACAGCCTGCAAAAAAAATAATTTCAAAGATATTAATATTTCCAATTAAAACAAGTTATTTTCTGTAACTTAAGCTGTATGTTAACTCAAAAATGACGTTAATGCAAGTGCTAATCTGAATAATATATTGGTTAAACTTTTTAATGAAGTCTTATTTGTTAACATTACCTAATGCGTTGAGTAACATTCATTCATTCATTCATTCATTTTCTTGTCGGCTTAGTCCCTTTATTAATCCGGGGTCACCACCGCCAACTTATCCAGCAAGTTTTTACGCAGCGGATGCCCTTCCAGCCGCAACCCATCTCTGGGAAACATCCACACACACACATTGACACACACACTTATACAGTATGGACCCAATTCACCTGTACCTTTAGACTGTGGGGAAAACCGGAGCACCCGGAGGAAACCCAGCGACCCAGCGACCTTCTTGCTGTGAGGCAACAGCACTACCTACTGCGCCACTGCCTCGCCCCCATTGAGTAACATGAAGGGCCCTATCATACACCCGGCGCAATGTGGCGCGCGGCGCAATACTTGTTTGCTAGTTTTAGCTTGGCGCAAGAGTTGTTTTGAGGCGTTGCGCCACGCTGTTTAAATAGCAAATGCATTAGCGCTCATATGTGCGCCCATAGGCGTTCTGGTCTAAAAAGGAAGGCGTTCTGAGGCGAGACCAAAACAAACCCAGTCTAAACTCCAGCTCAGAGTTGCGCCTCGCTTACACACTGCTTAATAGCCTACACACAAGATGTAGAGCAATACGCAAATATCTTTAAAAAATTAAAATGTTAAGGATAGGCCTATTTATAGGATATAATAAGAATATATATAGGATATAAATATAAAGGATAAAATATTACAAAACATATTATTTTCTAGCCTACATAAATATGAAAAACCACAGTTTTTTTTTTTACGTCTTCATCTCGGGAGGCTTTTTCAGTTCATTCATAACAATTTGCTTTTGTATAATGTTTTCATTATTAGCAGTATTATTTATTATATCCATATTTATATTTGTTTTATTAAAAACAAGCTTAGATTTGCCCACCTGTCAGGTTTTAGACTATATGGGGCACAGCATGTGTTTTTGGATATAACTCAGGTTTTTGACCACACTTGGTTATTATTGTTTATTTATTCGTTTGCTAGAAAATAAGAACTGAATTTAGAAATAGTTTCAAACAAATATTTGCACTTAAATACATAAATTAATTATTTATAGGCTAATTGATGTCTGTGCGTAAAGGTTTCCCTATCCAAGAGCGAAAGTGAAAGGAGATGAGACTCTGATTGGTTTATTCTCAAAACACACCTATAACTCATTAAGAAAATAAACTCAACCCTTTTAGATCATGCTCCACGGCGCAAAGCGGATTTTGCCATCCTTAAATTAGCAAATATGAGTTCTGACACGCCCTGAAAGCGTTTGTGCCCTGCGCTTTGCGCTCTGCATATGGACCATCAAAATAGAGCCTGAACATTGAACTCTAAAGGACAATGTATATTTACAACATTTTTATTGTTGACTAATCCAGATCTTCATAGTAGTTCACACTAAATTAACTTAATTAATGTAATTTTAACAAGTGGTGTAACCTTCCTCTGATTATTAATAGTAACCTGTACGCACACACACACACACACACACACACACACACACACACACATATACATGTATGTATGTATGTATACATACATACATACATATATATATACATACATACATATATATATATTCTATTGTAAATCTATATTCATAGCTGATACAACCTGTATATAATGTTCATAGTACATCTATCTGAAAATATATCCATAGTTTTTCTATAATTGCACTTTATAACTTATACTTATATCCTGCACTTGCTACTATTGGTTAAACCAAAACTGCATTTCATTGCCCTGTACTAGTACATGTGTAATGACAATAAAGTTGGATCTAATCTAATCTTAACAATGTTTTATTACAGAATTTCTGTAGGCTTTGTTAATATTAGGAAATAATACATAAATAAGGTTTTAGAAATTCACAGTGCATTAACAGAAACAATACAATGTTATTAAATGTTGGCAGTATTAAGATAAAAAGGCAATGTAACAAATATACAATATTCAATACACATACTAGTAATAATGCAATTTTTATTGTCTTTCTTTTATTGCGTAATTTTTGGCGGGGCAAAAGTTTCTGCTTAATTTTTATTGATGCCTATGAAAATTGCGAAGCTTTGAAAGTAATTTGTTTGATTTATTTAGAGTGCCAAAGTGTGGATGGCAAGAGAAGTGAGCGTGATCTGACAGACACAGAGGAAGTGACTGTGTTAATCTGCCTCTGGCACTCACTGAGCTGCTGGATTTTGCAGTTTACAGGGCCACAAGATTTAAGATCTTTCGCGAGTGCTGGTCCAGAGCAAACGACTACTTATGAAACATGCCGCATAAACGTCTGATCTGTAAGTCTAGAAAAACATGAGCAATATTTAAGGGAAAATGTTCAAGGCTTATTTAGGCATTCGTAAGTGTATTATGGGTAATTATGGCTTCTAAAAATGTATTTCTGCCATTGAAATGGTCCTATAAACTGAGATAAAATGTGGTTCAGGTAAGAAAGCAAGAACTTTTTCAGTAATCGGTTTTTAATAGGCTAAGTAATATATCATGGTATTTTCATATGATATGTTACACATGCCAATGTTGAGAATGAATTACACTAGTGTATAGAAATGCTACAGTTTATCTCTGTTTTCCTTTCAGCTTATTAAAATCATCAAGTTAGTGTGGCTTATAACTAGTTTTAGTACTTAAAATGATGAGTAGTTTGCCAGACTGCAGTTTCATAGTAGATTCCCTGACATTCAACGTGCATATAATCAACATACAGTAACTGGGAGTTTTGTTAACAGAGTGATGATACTTTTCTTTTGACAAACCATGAAATCCTCCAGTAATTGTTTTCATAATAATCCACCCTATACATCTTTCTCTTTTTTTCATTTTTAAACATAAACAGCTTAAACGTAAACATAAGCAGTGAGAACAATGGTTTTGTGTATCAGTTAGGTGTTTGGGGGGCTAGCAGATGTTCGTAGAGAAGGGTCTTGTTTTTCTATTTGTCTTATAGGATTGTAATGTTGGAGATATACAGTATAAATTGTTCCTATTT